GAACATGCGGTGTTTGATTTTCTGCTCCTGTGTTAGTTTACTGAGAATGATGGCTTCCAGGTTCATCCATGTCCCTACAAAGGACACGAACTCATCGTTTTTGGTGGCTGCGTAATATTCCATGGTGTATATGTGTCACATTTTCCCTGTCCAGTCCATCATCGATGGGCATTTGGGTTGGTTCCAAGTCTTTGCTATTGTAAACTGTGCTGCAATGAACATTCGTGTGCATGTGTCCTTATAGTAGAACGATTTATAATCCTTTCGATATATACCCAGTAATGAGATTTCTGGGTTAAATGGAATTTCTATTTCTAGGTCCCCGAGGAATCGCCACACTGTCTTCCACAATGGTTGAACTAATTTACACTCCCACCAACTGGGTAAAAGTGTTCCTATTTCTCCACATCCTCTCCAGCATCTGTTGTCTCCAGATTTTTTAATGATCACAATTCTAACTGGCGTGAGATGGTATCTCAATGTAGCGTTGATTTGCATTTCTTTAATGACCAGTGATGATGAGCATTTTTTCATATGTTTGTTGGCCTCATATATGTCTTCTTTTGTTAAAGTGTCTGTTCATATCCTTTGCCCACTTTTGAATGGGCTTGTTTGTTTTTTTTCTTGTAAATCTGTTTTAGTTCTTTGTAAATTCTGGATATCAGCCCTTTGTCAGATGGGTAAACTGCAAAAATTTTTTCCCATTCTGTTGGTTGCCGATTCACTCTAATGACTGTTTCGTTTGCTTTGCAGAAGCTGTGGAGTTTGATTAGATCTCATTTGTCTATTTTGGCTTTTGTTGCCAATGCTTTTGGTGTTTTGGTCATGAAGTCCTTGCCTACGCCTATGTCCTGAATGGTTTTGCTTAGATTTTCTTCTAGGGTGGCTGGGCGCGGTGGCTCAAGCCTGTAATCCCAGCACTTTGGGAGGCCGAGGCGGGTGGATCACGAGGTCGAGAGATCGAGACCATCCTGGTCAACATGGTGAAACCCCGTCTCTACTAAAAATACAAAAAATTAGCTGGGCATGGTGGCACGTGCCTGTAATCCCAGCTACTCAGGAGGCTGAGGCAGGAGAATTGCCTGAACCCAGGAGGCGGAGGTTGCGGTGAGCCGAGATCGCGCCATTGCACTCCAGCCTGGGTAACAAGAGCGAAACTCTGTCTCAAAAAAAAAAAAAAAAAAAAAAAAAAACGATTTTATTCTAGGGTTTTTATGGTGTTAGGTCTTATGTTTAAGTCTTTAATCCATCTGGAGTTAATTTTAGTGTAAGGTGTCAGGAAGGGGTCCAGTTTCTGCTTTCTGCACATGGCTAGCCAGTTTTCCCAACATCATTTATTAAACAGGGAATCCTTTCCCCATTGCTTGTTTTTGTCAGGTTTGTCAAAGATTGGATGGTTGTAGATGTGTTGTGTTGCTTCTGAGACCTCTGTTCTGTTCTGTTGGTCTATATCTCTGTTTTGGTACCAGTACCATGATGTTTTGATTACTGTGGCCTTGTAGTATAGTTTGAAGTCTGGTAGTGTGATGCCTCCCACTTTGTTCTTTTTGCTTAGAATTGACTTGGCTATGGGGCTTTCTTTTGGTTCCATATGAAGTTTAAGGTGTTTTTTTTCCAGTTCTGTGAAGGTCATTGGTAGCTTGATGTGGTAGCGTTGAATCTGTAAATTACTTTGGGCAATATGGCCATTTTCACGATATTGATTCTTCCTAACCATGAACATAGAATGTTTCTCCATCTGTTTGTGTCCTCTCTGATTTTGTTGAATAGTGGTTTGTAGTTCTCCTTGAAGAGGTCCTCTACGTCCCTTGTTAGCTGTATTCCTAGGTATTTTATTCTCTTTGTGGCAAGTGTGAATGGCAGTTCATTCTTGATTTGGCTCTCTTTAAGTCTGTTAGTGGTGTATAGGAATACTTGTGATTTTTGCACATTGATTTTGTATCCTGAGACTTTGCTGAAGTTGCTTATCAGTTTCAGGAGACTTTGGGCTGAGATGATGGGGTCTTCTAGATATACAATCATGTCATCTGCAAATAGAGACAATTTGACTTCCTCCTTTCCTATTTGAATGACCTTTATTTCTTTTTCTTGCCTGATTGCTCTGGCTAGAACTTCCAGTATTATATTGAATAGGAGTGGTGAGAGAAGGCATTTTTGTCTAATGCCAGATTTCAAAGGGAAAGCTTCCAGTTTTTGCCCATTCAGTATGATATTGGCTGTTGGTTTGTCATAAATAGCTTTTATTATTTTGAGATACGTTCCATCAATACCTAGTTCCATCAAAACCCAATTGAGGGTTTTTAGTATAAAGTGCTGTTGAATTTTGTCAAAGGCCTTCTCTGCATCAATTGAGATAATCATGTGGTTTTTGTCTTTGGTTCTGTTTATGTGGTGAATTACGTTTGTGGACTTGCGTATGTTGAACCAGGCTTGCATCCCTGGGATGAATCCTACTTGATCATGGTGAAGGCTTTGCTGAGCTGCTGTGGGCTCCGCCCGGCTGTCATGTGAACTTCCCTGCAGTCCTGTTTATATTGGTGTACTTAGAACTGTATCAGCATTGGTGGCCTGCCTCTGTAATGGCGGACTCTCGCTGTAATGGCAGGTTGCCTTGGCAATGGCGGGCTGCCTTGGCAATGGCGGATGCCCCTTCACCACAGAGCTGGACCGTCCCGGGTTCAGCTGTGCTTGCTGTGAAACTCTCAATCCAAAGAGTTTCCGATTGCTGTTCTTCTGTGGGGGTGGGACCAGCCGAGCCTGATCACCTGGCTCCCTGCCTCAGAGCCTTTTGCTCTCCAGTTAAATGGTCGACTCTCTCCCAGGTGTTCCAGTCGCCTGTTGAAAAGGCGCCAGGGTCTATGTGATTTCCCCTGCCGTGACTCACTGCGCTGGCTGAAACAGTGGTGCTGAGATTCGTGGGGCCTTTTTGTTTGTTTGTTTGTTTTTGCCTGGGAATCTCCTGGCCTGGCTCCCTGCCTCAGACCCCCCTTTAGTCAGATGAATGGGCGACTGCGCCTTCCCAGGGCTCCAATCGCCAGCCAAAAGGGCACGGGGACCAGTGTATTTTGTATGGAGAACTGCTGTGCTGGGGCGCCGCAAAGCAGCCGCACAGGCCAAAACAGCCACGGGGACAGAAATGGCCACTGGCCAAAACAGTCATGCTGGTGACCTGTGGGGCTCCTCCGCCTGGGAATCTCCTGGTCTGTGTGCAATAAAAATCCATCTGGAAATGCGGCGTCCACTCACCCTCTGCGCTTTCACTGGGAGCTGCAAACCCTAGCTGTTCCTAAACGGCCGTCTTGGATCCAGATCCATGTATTTCATATATATATATATATATATATATATATATATATATATATATATGTGTATATATGTATATATATATATGTGTATATATATATATATCCATTAGTTCTGTTCCTCTAAGGAACCCCAAATAATACAGATACCTTTTATAATATATATATCTATATATCTATGTAATATATAAACTCATATATATACATATATGAGTTTATTAAATATTAACTCACATAATTGCAAAGTCCCACAAGGTCCCACAATAGGCTGTCTGCAAGCTGAGGAGCAAGGAAAGCCAGTCTCACTTCCAAAATGGAAGAACTTGGAGTCCAGTGTTTTAGGACAGGAAGCATCCAGCATGGGAGAAAGATATAGGCTGGAAGGCTATGCCAGTCTTTCTTCACATTTTTCTACCTGCTTATATTCTAGCCTTGCTAGCAGCTGATTAGATGGTACCCACCCAGATTAAGGGTGGGTCTGCCTTTCCCAATCCACTGACTCAAATGCTAATCACTTTTGGCAACACTCTCACAGACACACGGAGGATCAATGCTTTGTATCCTTCAATTCAATCAATACTTTGTATCCGCCGGGCGCGGTGGCTCAAGCCTGTAATCCCAGCACTTTGGGAGGCTGAGGCGGGTGGATCACAAGGTCAAGAGATCGAGACCATCCTGGTCAACATGGTGAAACCCCGTCTCTACTAAAAATCCAAAAAATTAGCTGGGTATGGTGGCACATGCCTGTAATCCCAGCTACTCAGGAGGCTGAGGCAGGAGAACTGCCTGAACCCAGGAGGCGGAGGTTGCGGTGAGCCGAGATCGCGCCATTGCACTCCAGCCTGGGTAACAAGAGCGAAACTCTGTCTCAAAAAAAAAAAAAAAAAAAAAACTTTGTATCCTTCAATTTAATCAAATTGACACTCAGTATTAACCATCAATGTATCTGATACTTCTGTCTCCTACTTTTTTATAGAATAGAATAAGAATTGAAGATTTCCGGCCGGGCGCGGTGGCTCAAGCCTGTAATCCCAGCACTTTGGGAGGCCAAGGTGGGTGGATCAAGAGGTCGAGAGATCGAGACCATCCTGGTCAACAAGGTGAAACCCCCGTCTCTACTAAAAATACAAAAAATTAGCTGGGCGTGGTGGCACGTGCCCGTAATCCCAGCTACTCGGGAGGCTGAGGCAGGAGAATTGCCTGAGCCCAGGAGGCGGAGGTTGCGGTGAGCCGAGATCGCGCCATTGCACTCCAGCCTGGGTAACAAGAGTGAAACTCCGTCTCAAAAAAAAAAAAAAAAAAAAAAAAGAATTGAAGATTTCCATATCAACTCCTAAGCAGAACTACACATGGCTTTTGTACCTGCTGGTTGCTCTCTTTTTCCATAATAGGCTCTTCCTCATTCTTCTGGCCTCACCTCTAAGATGCATCCTTCTCTGACTACCACCCAACTCCCAGCCCCCTGTGGCCACCTTTTTCTAGCTGCCCACATCCATCCCTATTACTGTGATAAAGGTGCCTTTTCCTCTGCCTAGTGTTGCCTCCTCACTAAGACTTGACACGTACTCTCTTTCACGGCCCCTAGGAATTTCTGCTTTTCTATGGGGATTTTTGCTCTTCTCACTAGCCATTACTGAAAAATTAGTGAGGTTATCATGGATTATGACCCATCAGCCCATTCCTTGAAACAGTCCTTACCGGCCAGTTCCTCTCAGGATGTCTTTCTAGGAAGAGCTTGATCCACCCTCCTCTCCAGCCAGCAGCTCCAGAATTCCTCGAGCCTTGGAAGAGAGCATATAACTCAGACAGACAGCTTCAGAATCCCCAATCAGAATCAGCTAATTATTGACAGTGGGTAACTTTGGAGGCTTACAAAGGGTAACATCAATCTTCCTAGCCAAGTTTATTGGCTTTACAACATTAGAGAATTTGAGGCCAACTCGATTTGCACTTTCAGTCCAAGGGGCATGAGGCAGTTTTATGCCCAGGAATAACAGAAAATTATTGCTTCAGCCAAACAAAGAGCAATGGAGCTCACATAAGCTTGATGAATGCTCTTTTAATTCTTTGCTTTGCTTGGTCCCAGCATACCACTTTTGCCTGGTTTTCCCCTTGTTTTCCATCTCTTTTGCTTATCCCTCCTCATCTTTATCCATGTTCACTCTGTACATTATCTCAACAACTGTCATAGCTTGGATACCATGTGGCTTGCCAATGGCCCCCACATGTATGTCTCCAGCCTGGATTTCTCTCCTGTGTCCTCATCTGCTTGACTTCACCTGGATGTTTAACAGGGATCTCAAACATACTTTGTTCAAACATACTTTGTTGATCTTATCCTTCCCTGTCCTCTCCCATTCCAGGTGTGGTTTTATCCATCTCAGCAAATGACACTCCTATTCTTCAAGTTCTTCCAACATCAAATCTTGGAGACTTCCCTCACTTTTTTCTTTCATATATGGATGTGAAAAAGCCATCAGATCCACCTTCAGGCTATGTTGAGAGTCTGATGCATTCTATTCCCTGTTCCAACCCAACGTTGTGCTAAGTCCAAAACTCAACAGGCAAAAACAACTCTTTATGTCTCTTTATATTTGTTTTATTTTGAAACAGCATTTCTCTGTTGCCCAGGCTGGAGTGCAGTAGTGTGATCACAGCTTTTGCAGCCTCCAACTATCAAGCTGAAGCAACCATCCCACCTCAGCTTCCTGAGCATCTGGGATTAAAGGCACATGCCATTATGCCCAGCTAAATTTTTAACGTTTTGTAGAGACTGGATCTCACTATGTTGTCCAGGCTGGTCTCAAACTCCTGAACTTAAGTGATCATCTCATCTTGGCCTCCTAAAGATTACAGGTATGAGACACCATGCCTGGCCAACATTGTCTTAAAGCTGGTCTCAGCCCATGCTTCAGCTCTCTCAGGCTGGATTTGTAAATTGGTGATCCTACAGTTCTGTGTCTTGAAGGTGGCCCCACTTCCATGGCTTCATGAGGCAGGATCTAGCCCCATATTTTGTGCCCGTGCATCCAGACTTTCCAATACATCCTTTGAAAGTTAGGGAAGCCACCAAGCATCTATGGCTCCTACATTCTGGGTGCCTGCAGAATGAAAACCATGTCAACACTGCCAAAGTTCATGGCTTGCATTCTCTAGAGCAGTTGCTTGAGCAGTGCTTGGGGGTCATTTGAGGCATGGTTAGTCTGGAGCAGCCTGGATTCAGGGAGCAGCATCCTGAGGTGGTGCAAGGAAGCAGTAGAATAAAACCATTCTGTCTTTTTTGGTCTCTGGGCCTGTGATGGGAGGAGCAACATCAAAGGTTTTTAACATACCTTTGGAACTTTCTTTCTATTATCTTATTAGCACCAGGCCCTCTTTTAGTCATGCTTTAGCAAATTTTGTTCTGACACATTCTTGGACTCCTCTCCTGAAAATTCTCTTTTCTTCTCTACCAATATGTCTAGGCGAAGAATTTTCCAAATTTTAATGCTCTTCTTCCCCTTTAATTATAAATGCAGACTTTAGGTCATTCCTTTACTATCAAGATTTAGCATAAGCTGTTAAAAACAACCATGAACACTTCTTGAACACTTTGCTGCTTAGATATCTCTTCTACCATATATTATAAGTCATCACTCTTAGTTCAGCTTTCCACAAAGCCTTAGGGCATGAACACAGTGCACCTGAGCTCTTTGCTACAGAGTAGCACGGATCAACTTTGCCCCAGTTCCCATTTCTATGACTTTTCAGCATGGCCTGTACTGTCTACATTTCTATCAGCATTGTAAAAATAAAATAAAAATTAGGGCCGGGGCAGTGGCTCATGTCTGTAATCCCAGCACTTTGAGAGGCCGAGGCAGGCAGATAACCTGAGGTCAGGAGTTTAGGACTAGCCTGACCAACATGGAGAAACTTCATCTTTACTAAAAATACAAAAAATTAGCCAGGTATGGTGGCACATGCCTGTAATTCCGGCTACCTGGGAGGCTGAGGCAGGAGAATCACTTGAACCCGGGAGGTGGAGGTTGCAGTGAGCCAAGATCGCACCATTGCACTCCAGCCTGGGCAACAATAAGGAAACCCCATCTCAATTAAACAAACCAACAAATAAATAATACATATATACATAACTAAATAAACAAACAAATAAATAAAATAGAATAAAATTTAGGACCTTCCAGATTTATCATACAAAAGGGAAAATTTAAGCCCTGCAAGTTGACTTATGTAACACAAGTTCCCCTAACTCTGGTGCATGACTGTTGCTTTCTGACCTTTGTGTTGAGATGTTTTACATTAACTAGACTCGTCTTTCATCAAACCTGAACTAAACAGCGTGAAGTTAGAGACCTTTGTGCCTTTGTGACTGTCTCCTTTTAACAGGATATTAAACTCTCCTTTTAGAGTGTAATCAAAAGTAGCCAATCAAAACTTTTTTTTCTTTTCTCAGAGACAGAGTCTCGCTTTGTCGCCCAGGCTGGAGGGAGGGCAGTGGCATGATCTCAGCTCACTGCAACCTCTGCCTCTAAGGTTCAAGCAATTTTCCTGCCTCAGCCTCCCAAGTAGCTGGGACTACAGGTGCACGCTGCCATGCCCAGCTAATGACCATGCCAGATTCATTCCTGTTCAGAAATGAGACAGAGAATAACATGTAAAATGATTACTTTCATTTTAAATACTGTGAAGGGGAAGTCAGATGTCAGATCATGTCACACCTCTGCTCAGAACCCACCAGTGAATCTCAGTGTCCTGAAAAACTAACATCAGAGTTTTTACTTCATTATTCAAGGTGCTGTATGATCTTTACTCACTATTTTCATCTCCGGTTTTATGTCCTGTTCCTTTACCTCTTATTCACTGCATATCAGTTAGGCTGGCTTTCTTCCTGTTCCTTGAAGGCACACCTCTGCCTTAGAGTATCTGCACTTGCGGTTTCCTCTTGTGAGACTGATTTTTCACAGATATCTGCATGTATAACTCCCTCTCCTGCTTTATTTTCTTTGCTAAATATTTTTGTCAGCTTCTAAATGAAGTTCACCTTGACCACCTTCTTAAAATGGCAACCCACCTCCAAGTTGGTTTTTCCTCCTCCTCCTCCTCCTCATTACTAGGCACTATTTTCCCTAGTACTCACTACCTGCTAAGCTATCTACTTACTATTTTTGCCTCTCTCTCCTTCCGTTAGAATCTAAGCTTCATGAAGCCAGATGTTTTTTCTTTTGCCCATTTTGTTCAGTGAGTTAGCTCAAGGACTTTTAACAGTAGCTAGCACACAGTAAGTACTCAGTAAATAGCTGAATGAATAAATAAGGGCTGTAAAGAAAAGAAAACATGTTGTTATAACAATGTGTGTGCCTGTGTGAAGTGCATAGCTGTGTATTGAGATAGCCTAAGTGTGTGTATGTATGTTTTTATGTGTGCAAATGTGACTGTGTGGGATGTATGTATAGCCGTTATATGTGTGTGTGTGGTTCTGTGTGTGAAGACGTGTGTGAGATTGTGCATGTGTTTGTGCACATGTGTGTCTATGATTGCGTCAGTACATGGGTGTGTGTGAGACTGTGTATGTGTATTTGTGTGCAAGTGTGTATAGTGCTATGTGAGCAGGTGTACAGGTGTTTATGTATACTTGCATGCATGTGTGTTAGTAGATGTGGATGTGTGTGAATGTATGTGTACAAATGTGTATGTGATTATGTTTGTGACTGTCGTGTGTATGTAGCTCTGTAGTTTAGTGTACGTCTATGTATCTGTGTGAGTTTGGCACTGTAAGTGTTAAGTGTGTATTCATGTGTGTGAGTGTGGGGGGGCTAGAAGTGTGACTAGATATTAGTGTGTGCTTGAATGTGTGTCTATGTGTGGCAGTGAAATTGCAGATGTATGTGTGTCTGTATTTGTATTTGTGCGTGTGTGCATGTGTCTGTGTGTAAGTCCTAAATAGCACTCACACTATTTGCCATGGTCTGAAAACACCTCCCTGGGTGGTCCTTTGGACCTGGCCACTGGGGACACTGCCAAGTCATGATGCTGGACTTCGCTGAGTTTCTTTTTCTTTCTTTCTGTTTTTCAAATTTTGTCCTTTAGACACATTTCAGGATAGCATATTCCAGTGGGAAATCTGTGAGGTGGAAAATCAAAATTTTCCTGATGACTTTTTAAAAAGGATAACAGCTAGCTATGTCTTCAGTGTTGAATAGTTATGCTCACATGTAATCTTAACAGGAACTATGCAGGAGAGGTATCCAGAGCCCCATTTTATAGATAAGTAAATTGAGGCTCAGAGAGGACAAGCAACTTAGCTAAGCTCCCACAGCTGGTAAGTGCTACAGGAGGACTCAGATATGACTTCAAAGTCCAGTGTCCTCATAGAGAACACCATGTTTCTGCAAAGAGCCATTTTAAAAGAAAAGAATTTGAAATGGTCACTTTTGGAGGCTGTGCACAATCAACTGGGTGCCTCTGTGTCCCTAGAATCTGACCCACAGTGAAGACTCAGTGTTTGGGGAAAATAGGAAAAGTGCTGGAGTTGCTGGAGAAACTCTGGGAGCAGAACTCCATGGTGGGGGCTCAAAATTTCCCAGGACAGGAGGTTTTGAGTGAGGAATCAGAACCACTCTGGGAAAAACAGATTTTCTTTATCACACTCCACCTCTGATTGTCATAGGAAGTCTTTGGTGGCCCAGCTGGATGGATCCAAGGTTTTGAAGGCAGCCTGGGGCAAGAGACAATCCCTGAGAATTGCATCAGAAGACTCATTTAAAATCTTTGCTGTACCACTTACCAAATGAACACACACACTCACTTGCTGTGTCTCAGTTTCTTCCTGTACAAAATGGGGATAAAAATAGCATCTATCTGGTAGGGTTACAGTACAGCCTGGGTAAGACAATCCTGGAGGCTTTTCACTTGTCCTGATGCCAGAGGAGTGTGTTGCTGCACCCTTAAGACTCTTAGAGGTGGAGAACAAGGCAAAGTGCTAGATTTCTGCAAAGCCTTATGTTTGATCTAAAAAACCTGTTTCAAAGCAACCGTGTGCTTCAGGAGATAACTGTGCCTCTTCTTCTCACTTTTAGAGTTGGAGGCTGCATCTGACAAGTGGCTGTGGTTTCAACTCTCTGGAGTCTCATTTTTTTTCTCTTCCTTGAAGTTTGTTCACTGCAGTTTGAAGAGCCAAGGCACATGAGACATACCAGGTACATAATTAGAGCTTTGGAAAGAAACTGCTATCTCTATGGTTAATGGCAGCTTTTGTGAGGCAACTCACCCAGAAACCACTTGCATGAAGGTGGGAAACTCACCAGTCGTCTGGGATGGGAGATCTTAATGTCCCCTACTGAAAATGGGTTTGTGAACCGAGTAATAGCAAGTAGGAATAACATTTATTGGTCAGGCACAGTGGCTCATGCCTGTAATCCCAGGACTTTGGGAGGCTGAGGAAGGTGGATCACAAGATCAGGAATTCCAGACCAGCCTGGCCAGGGTGGTGAAACCCCATCTCTACTTTAAAAATACAAAAATTAGCTGGGCTTGGTGGTGGGTGCCTGTAATCCCAGCTACTCATGAAGCTGAGCGGGAGAATCACTTGAACCCAGGAGGCGGAGGTTGCAGGGAGCAAAGATCGTGCCATTGCACTCCAGTCTGGGCAACAAGAGTGAAACTCCATCTCTCTCTCTCTCTCTCTCTCTCTCTCTCTCTCGCGCGCGCGCACGCGCGCACGCATTTAGTGTGCCATAAACTATGCAGGTGTTTCATTTAACCACCTCTAGCAGTTCTCTATTATCATCCCCATTTCAGCATGTGGAAACTGAGGCTCAGACAGTTTAAGTCAGCTGCCCAAGGAGGCAACTGGCACCACAAGACTTGAACTCAGGCCTGTTTCACATCATGCCTAACTCTTAACCACTCTGCTGATGCCCCAACACCTGCATCCTCAGTGTCTGAATTGAAAAATATGGGAAACTGAGAAACAACTGCAGGTTTTGGTGTTGACAGGCCTGGCATTCAGATCCCATCTCTGCAGCAGCTCTGAAAACAGCTGGGCAAGTTTGGGCAACTGACTCCACCTTTCTGAGCCTCAGATTTCTCTTCTGTAAAATGGGGATTACCAGGTGATTTTTTCTGTCTCAGGGCCTTTGAACCTTCCCTCTGTCTCTGGGACAGTGTCCTCCCTGACTGCCACATCTGCACAACTTGCTCCCTCACCTTTCAGTTTGCTCAAACATCATCTTCACAAATCCTTTCCTGGCTACACTATTTAAAATCCTGCACCACCCTCCTATTCACCGCTTGTACTTTATTTTCCTCCTTAGCACTGACACTGTCTGACATACTCTTAATTTTTTAAATTACATTTGTGCAAAAGTATAGAGATGTGGAAAAAATACAGAGACGTGGAAAAAGAGGCCTAGAGAGGGAAAGTCACCTGCCTGTCTACAAAGTAAGACTGTTAGATTTCTATTAGGAATTTTTTAGCATTCAAGAAAAGAAACAGATACATTCATCTGGAGAGGAAAAAGAGGTGAACCGTCTTCAGGTGTAATTTGTGCTGGACACCTCCTCAGCTCCCTGTTCCTCTCAATTATTATTGTATTTTTCATTCATTCATTCATTCATTCATCCATTCAATGACTATTTACTGATGCCTACTAGGCAGCGGTCCCAATATGGGCGTTGGGATGACAGACAAGACTATGATCTAGCCCATGATTTAGAAGAGTCCACCGTCTACTAGGAAAGACAGGCAAAACAAACATAAAACAATAAGCAATAGCAATGATCTATGACACCCATGAAAGAGAATGTTAAATAGGACTTCCTCTGTTGTCTCAGAATCTTGGCTGAAGCTCCAAGGGGAGACCAGGGTAACAGATAACTGCAGTTTAATGAGAGAGTGCCACATGACATACTCAGAAGTAATCCCAACTTGACTTTGGAGCTTCACCCACCTCCAGACTGTGTATGACAAAACGCTACTGAAAAAGCCAGCAGGTGGGCTTGATGGAAGGGAATCGTAACCATCCAATGGGCTCACATTGCCTACTGACTAGGCAGAGCCGATTTATCCAGACAGGGGAATTGCAATGCCAAAAGAATAATTCACACAGAGCCAGCTATGCGGGAGACCAGAGTTTTGCTATTACTCAAATCAATTTCTCCAAGCATTTGGGAATCAGAGGTTTTAAGGATAATTTGGCGGGTAAGGGCTCTGAAAGTGGGGAGTGCTGGTTGGTCAGGATGAAGAAGAAATCATAGAAGGTCAAAGTGAGTTCATCTTGCTGACATCTGCTGCTGGGTGGGATTGCAAAACTGGGTGAGCCAGGTTATCAGTCTGGTTGGTATCATCTGCTGCATCGGAATGCAAAATATCTCAAGCACTGATCTAAGGTTTTGCAACAGTGATGTTATTCCCAGGAGCAATTTGGGGAGGTTCAGACTCTTGAAACCAGAGGCTGCTTGGCCTCAAACTGTGTAATTTCTAATCTTGTAGCTAATGTGTTAGTCCCACAAAGGGAGACTGTTCCCCAGGCAAGAAGGGGTTTTAGGGGAAAGCGTTATTATCAATTTTGTTTCAGAGTTTAAACTATAAACGAAATTACTTCCCAAGGCTAATTTGGCCTATGCCAAGGAATGAACGAAGGCAGCTTAGAGATTAGAAGGAAGATGGGGTCAGTTAGATCTGATCTCTTTCACTGTCATAATTTCCTCAGTTAGGATTTTTGCAAAGGCAGAATTGTTTGTCTTTTAGGAAAGGCTGAGGGGCTGCGCTCCACTGCAGCACTGGTGGGCAGGTATTTGAAGAAAATAACTTGTACTAATAACTAACAGCTCTGGGCACTTATCTGTACACTTTAGAAATACAAACTCATGGCTGGGCACGGTGGCTCATGCCTGTAATCCCAGCACTCACAGCACTTTGGGAGAGCTGGGATTACCTCCCAAAGTGCTGATCACCTGAGGTCAGGAGTTCCAGACCAACCTGGCCAACATGGAGAAACCCTGTCTCTCCTAAAAATACAAAATTAACTGGGCGTGGCAACCCACGCTTGTGATTCCAGCTACTTGGAAGGCTGAGGCAGGAGAATCACTTGAACCCGGGAGGCAGAGGTTGTGGTGAGCCGAGATCACGCCATTGTACCCCAGCCTGGGCAACAAGAGCAAAACTCTGCCTCAAAAAAAAAAAAAAAAAAAAAAAAAAAGAAGAAAAGAAGAAAGAAATATAAACCCATTTGATTCTCAGAACAACCCAATCAGTAGATGTACATCGCCCCTGTTAAATATCATGCTCAGTGCTGCACAGATAGGAAGTGCAGGAGCTGATATTCAAGCATCAGTGTGACTCTAGAGTCTATATCTTGCATTGAAAAGGGAATACTGGTGTTTCCCCCTGTGAAAGGAAAATATCTTGGGCCCCCAAAATCACTAGGCCAAAAGGAAAACTCCAGCTGAAAACTGCTTAGGACAACCTGCCTCCCGTTCTATTCAAAGTCATCCCTCTGCTCACAGAGATAGATGCATATTGGTTTAGATCAGTTTTCTCCAAAATAGGTTTTGCAAGGTGGTTTTAGACAAGCAGTTTTCATGTTCATGGTTATATGGATATGCATTAAGAAAATAATTCCAGACTTGTCTTTTTTTTGAGACAAAGTTTCCTTCTTGTCAGCCAGGCCGGACTGCAATGGCACCATCTCAGCTCACTACAACCTCTGCCTCCCAGGTTCAGGCAATTCTCTTGCCTCAGCCTTCCAAGTAGCTGGGAATACAGGCATGCACTACCATGCCTGGATAATATTATATTTTCAGTAGAGGCAGGATTTTGCCATGTTGACCAGGCAGGTCTTGATCTCCTAACATCAGGTTATCGACCTGCCTCGGCCTCCCAAAGTGCTGAGATTACAGGTGTGAGCCACTGCACTTGGCCTACAGACTTGTCCTTTTAGGAATATTATATTGCATAAGGTGAAGACTTTTTTTAAAAAGTGAGTTTAATTAGAGTGGAAATAGTATGTGGATAGGGCTACATGCATGAGAGCAGGGCGAAAGTAAAGGTGGAGAATATGAGTTAGATTTCTGCCAAAACTTTAGCACAATGCGTGGCATAGAATGTATTTTCCATAAAGTGATGATGATAGTGCTCTGGACCAAACTGAGGGTTGGGCTGCTATTTCTAATGGCCCAACAACGAGATGCAGATGAACTGAGGAGAAAGAGAGTTTTTATTTCTGCAGCTGGTTACAGAGAGAAGGCCTGGAAATTATCACCAGACCAACTCAAAATCACAAAGTTTTCCAGAGCTAATATACTTTCTAAGCTACATGGCTATGTGTAAGTGTGAATTCACTTAAATACATAAGTGATTAATTTCTTTTAATCTATAGCTGAGGTCTGAGTCCTGAAGACCTTCTTCTGGAGCCTCAGTAAATTTACTTAGTGGGTCCAGGTGCTGGGGTGATTACTCTTATCTTGTCTCCTGCTAAATCACAGAGGTTTGGAGAGTTCCTTCAGATCCCCAAATAAACTTATTTGTGGAAGCCTGAGGAGTTTCTTTAGACCCCCAGTAAAACTTAACCATAAATGGGTCCTGCTAAGAATTCCTTTGTTATTGGCCGGGCGCGGTGGCTCAAGCCTGTAATCCCAGCACTTTGGGAGGCCGAGGCGGGTGGATCACGAGGTTGAGAGATTGAGACCATCCTGGTCAACATGGTGAAACCCCGTCTCTACTAAAAATACAAAAAATTAGCTGGGCATGGTGGCGCGTGCCTGTAATCCCAGCTACTCAAGAGGCTGAGGCAGGAGAATTGCCTGAACCCAGGAGGCGGAGGTTGCAGTGAGCCGAGATCGCGCCATCACACTCCAGCCTGGGTAACAAGAGAGAAACTCCATCTCATAAAAAAAAAAAAAAAAAAAAAAAAAAAAAAAAAAAAAAAAATTCCTTTGTTATTTTGTCATGCTTTAAGTTTCAGGAAAGGCCTAGGAAAAATTCTTTGTGGGCTTTTGTTACATTTCGGCCTTTGTATAAGGGCACTGGCTTTTTTAGCTTTTATTATTTAACTTAGCCACTCAGTCAGTACTGAAGCAATTGTTATGGAGGTCTACATTAGTGAGACCTGGCCTGTCACAGTAGCAGTGGTTGGTGCCGCTGTTATGATCAGTGATTCTGGGGCTGGGAGTGCTGGAGGAAAAATGTGGGCTCTGTGGATGGTTGTGATTTCCTCTGGTACAGCTGCACCTGAGAGTGTTGGCTTTTTCCTGCCGAAGCTGAGCTGGGCAGAGGTGACTGCAGGAAGATTGGCTGGGGAGCCAGGTGTATCAGTGGGAGTCTAAGGGAAATGGGGATTGGGTTTCACTGTCTGGGGCTTGTACTGATTGAAATGTGAACCAAGGCCCTGGATGGGGAGCTATGGCTATAGCTGGAGAAGAGCAGACTGTGCTGGCTCAGGGGGAAGGGTAGAGAGCCTAGAGGCTACTCAGCAATCTAACCAGAGTGACACAATGGTGCAGGTGCCAGTTCCCCCAGGCATCATTTTCATCTAAGCCCCTGGATTTCAGGAAACAGAGATGTAGGAGAGAAAGCTCTGGCTCCTGACATGTTGGGGGATCTTCAGGCTCATGTGTTCTCCAATCCCCCAGCCCAAGAGCAGGGATGATATTGAGGCTGTAGGATCTTGGACAAATCACCAAATTACCACAGTTCTCTGGATTCCCACCTTTAAATTAAACTGTTTGCCCAGCCCAGGAATGCCATGAGGACAAATGGCATTAAAACACACACACACACACACACACACACACACACACACACACATCACTTTAAGAAGCTGTTTTTGGTAAAGGACTAATGAGTCTTTTTTTTTTTTTTTTTGACACAGGGTCTCCCTCTGTCTCCCAGGCTGGAGTGCATTAGTGTGATCACAGCTCACTGTGACCTCTGCCTCTTGGGCTCAATTGGCCCTCCCACCTCAACCTCCCAAGTATCTGGGACTACTACAGGTACTCACCACTATGCCAACCTAATTTTTTTGTAAAAATGGGATCTCACTGTGTTGCCCAGGCTGGTCTCAACTTCTGGGCTCAAGCAATCTGCCCACCTACCTTGGCATCCCAAGGTTACAGGCATGAACCCCTGTCCCCGACCTGATCTCTTAGGAGGATCTCTTCTCTGCAGTAAACTTTCAGCAGCTCCCTGGCAGTCACAGAAGGAAGACAACACGCCTAAACCAGGGTTGTCTTGAATCAGTGCTGAGAGGTGAAGCCTGTGGCTGCCAGAGCAGCACCACCTGGGTTTGAATTCTAGCTCTGTGAGATACTAGCTGTGTAAACTATAGCAAGTGGCTTCTCCTCTCTGTTCTATCTGTAAAATGGGGATTTTATCAGTACCTACCCACAGGATGGTTGAGAGTGGAGACATCTAGAACTGCACCTGGACAAAGCTAGTGCTTTGCAGGAGCTGTTCTTAGAAACCCAAATTGGTCTTTCCCAACTCAAGGCCTTTCCACATGCTGTATCCTCTGTCCAGATAGCTTGTTCCATCTCTTTAGTTAGTGTGCCTCCACTCTTCCTATAGTCTCAGTTTACCAGGGACTTTCTTCTTCTTTTTGTTTTTTGAGACAGAGTCTCACTCTGTCGCCTAGGCTGGAATGCAGTGGCGTGATATCAGCTTACTGCAACCTCTGCCTCCTGGGTTCAAGCAATTCTCTTGGCTCAGCCTCCCGAGCAGCTGGTATTACAGGCGCATGCCATCACACCTGGCTGATTTTTGTGTTTATAGGAGAGACGAGGTTTTGCCACGTTGGCCGGGCTGGTCTCTAACTCCTGACCTCAGGTGATCCACCTGCCTTGGCCTCCCAAAGTGCTGGTATTACAGGTGTGAACTACTGCACCCGGCCAGGACTTTCTTGTAGAAGCCTCCCTGATACTCTTAGTCCCCTGAGTCTTGATCAATCCCCTGAGTCTGTCTTAAATATATTCTTTTCTTCATGGTATTTACCACAGTTGTACATTTATTTGCATTAATCTGCAATAAATAATAATGATCTTCCTACTAAACTCCACAAGGGTTTGTACTGCAATCTGTTCTCCCAAATTCTTATGTTGAAGTCCTAACCCCAAATACCCCAGTTCCTCCCAGTACCTCAGATTGTGACTGTCTTTGGAGACAAGGTTTTTAAAGAGGTGATTAAGTTAAAGTGAAGTTATGAGGGCAGACCCTAATCCAATCTGACATGATAAGCATCCTTAGAAAAAGAGGCAATTAGTCCCCGGACATACAGGCACAGAAGAAAGACCATGTGAAGACAAAGGGAGAAGACAGCCATCTACAAACCAAGTAGACATCCTCAGAATGAAACTGACCCTGCCAACCCCTGATCCTAGACCTCCAGTCTCCAGAACAGTGAGGACAGTAATTTCTGTTGTTTAAATGACCCGGTCTGTTGTACTTGGTTATGGCAGCCCTAGAAAATTCACATAGGTAGGGACTAGGATGGCTCTGGTGTATCACTGTAGTCTAAGAGCCTAGTACTGAGTAGGTGCTCAATGAATTTTCCCTGGATGGTAATGGAGGTGTTGGGGGTGGGGTCAGCAGCACTGGGATTTCTTCAGTTTCCATCTGCGGCTTTTCCTCCAGGGTTGCTCCCAGAGCCACCCTTTTCTGTTTGCAGGCCTGGGCCGTGGATTCAGGTCCTTATGCCCCTCCTGGATAAGACATTGTGATGGTTAATGTTAGGTGTCAATTTGACTGGGTTAAGACTCCCCAGAGAGCTGTGAACATTACTTCTGTGTGTCTCTGGGAGGTGTTTCCAGGTGATATTAGAGATTGAGTCAGAGACTAAGAAGATATGCCCTCACCCCGTGGGCAGCCATCATCTAATCCATTAGCACATGAAAAGGAGAAAAAGGAGAAAAGACAGATTTGCTCCTTCATTTCGGGCTGGAACATCTGCATTTTCTTGTCCTCAGACAGTGAAGCTCCTGGTTCTCGAGCCTTTGCACTCAGACAGGGAGTTACACCATTGGCTCTCCTGGTTCTCAGGCCTCTGGACTCAAATGGAATCATATCATGGGCATTTCTGGGTCTCCAGCATGCAGATGGCAGATTGTGGAACTTCTCGGCCTCCAAACTCCAGTGAGCCAATTCCCATCGTAAATCCCCTCTCCTGTGTCTGTATATGTCCTATTGCTTCTCTTCCTCTGGAGAACGCTAACTAATACAGACATAATACAGCAGACTTTGGGGATAATGCATGAATATGTGGAGGAAGAACTAGACATGAAGCAGAATGTGGTTCCTTTAAAATAACTTTTTAATTAAAATAGTTGCAAATGCTTAGTACAAAAACTTGGAAAATACAGAAATGTAGTGGGAAAAGGAAGAAAAATTACCATCCAGTATTTTCTATTATTTTCTCTCCTTCCCTCCTCAATCTCCAGGAAAGAAAATTACAATTAACTACAGTTTTCCCTTTATTTTTCAGAGTTGGGATTCTCTAGTATGCACATACTTTAATTCTGATTTGTAAAAATAATATAGCTTACACTTTTCCCAAGACATACTAAACTGCTCTTAAGTATTTTAATGGCCACATAATATGTTATTGAATTAATCTGTTACAATTTTGTTAATTTTGTTAATCTCTTTGTTGTTTGGATGTTAATTTTTTTCTTTTCTTTTTTAAAGAATGCTATGTGATTTTCTTAGTATGCCATACATTTTCTGCATTTTGATTTTTTTCTTTTGTGGTGACTCCCAAAGGTAGAATTTTTTAGCTAAAGGATATTGCTAATTTTATGGTCCTGCATACTTTTACCAAATGGTTGCATACCAAGGATGAAGGCTTTACATTCCCACTGGCAGAGAATGATACCACAAGTGCCCCAAGATTACAGTAACCTGTCCTATGGAGGGAAATCCGGAAGCTCTTAGTAAGTGAGACCAGTGGGCAGATGCTGAGCCTGCCCCCAGACAGAGGGAGAAGTGAAGCCATTGAGCATTTGCTAGGCGGGGCAGCACATCTGTGGTCGGGGCCAGTGATGTTCTTTTGCCCTTTCCAGCATTGCCTAGTGATCCTGGGGATGCCCATTTGGAAGCTGCAGGCCTTTAACATCTTCAGGGTTGAAGAGATGATGCTCCCCCTGGGGGCTGACCAGTGATCCATTAGTTCCAGGTGGAGCTTTCAGAGGTCTACGGGGCCTTCCTGGGGCTGCACCTCATTTCCCCCACTCCTGACTTCGCAATTTACTCCTTTGGATCTTTCCAGAAACCGTCTTTGGCAGTTCTGAAACAAAGGCCACCTAGCGACCAAACACAAAACAAACAAAACCAAAAACACTTGGAAATCATTATTTCTCAACAAGATTTTTGTTTTGAAAAAGCTATTACTGTCTGTCCTTGGAAAGCATCCTTGATTCACGGTTTCTCCCCAGATGGCCAGGAGCAAAACAGCTGGAGCCTGGAGCACAGGATTGTTTGGACAGAATATAAGCACCACCCCTTATATCTGATTTATGGGTTAGGGATCAGGCTGTTCTTAGAACCAGAACAAAATGTTCTTTGGGTAGAACCCAAGTGGAGGAAAACAGAGAAAACATAAAGCAGTAGCCAAGGTTACCTCTCCAAATCCCCAGTGCCTGGCACAGGGCCTGGCCCTAAATGGGAGCCCAAGCAGAGTGTGCCCATCTGATTCCCAGCTTACCAGAAACCTGGATGTTTACCTTCCTGGGATATTTGTATGGAGCAGTCACCCTTTTCACATGCTCCTGGAGTTCTCGTGTTAGTGCCTCTGGGTCGTGAGAGGAGTAGGCTGGAGTAAGGACTACAAATGCCTTTACCACCTGCAGGAAAACAAAATACCCAGAAAAGATCAGGCCTTGTATAAAAACTCTTTTCTCCTTAAGTGAGCCTTGAATAAGTGCCCACATTTACCTTTGGATCATCATTGTTCTACCAGTTTTTTGGGCACAGCCATTGACACAAACAACAGTTGTTCTGTTGCAGGCCTTTCCAGGTGCAACTATTAGGAGCGTTAACCTTTGTGGGATGACCTCAAACTCCTACCTATTTCTCTTTTCTCTTTTTCTTTTCTTTTTTTTTTTTTTTTTTTGAGACGGAGTTTCGCTCTTGTTACCCAGGCTGGAGTGCAATGGCACGATCTCGGCTCACCGCAGCCTCCGCCTCCTGGGTTCAGGCAATTCTCCTGCCTCAGCCTCCTGAGTAGCTGGGATTACAGGCACGCGCCACCATGCCCAGCTAATTTTTTGTATTTTTAGTAGAGACGGGGTTTCACCATGTTGACCAGGATGGTCTCGATCTCTTGACCTTGTGATCCACCCGCCTCAGCCTCCCAAAGTGCTGGGATTACAGGCTTGAGCCACCGCGCCCGGCTCTTTTCTCTTTTTCTTTTCTTTCTTTCTTTTTTTTTTGAGACAGTCTAGTTCTGTCGCCAGGTGCCAGGCTGGAGTGCAGTGCCATGATCTCAGCTCACTGCAACCTCCGCCTCCCGGGTTCAAACAATTCTTCTGCCTCAGCCTCCTGAGTAGCTGGGACTACAGGCATGTGCCACCATGCCCAGCTAATTTTTGTATTTTTTTAGTAGGGACAGGGTTTCACCATGTTGACCAGGATGGTCTCAATCTCTTGACCTTGTGATCCACCTGCCTCGGCCTCCCAAAGTGCTGGGATTACAGGTGTGAGCCACCGTGCCTGGCCCCTATTTCTCAGATTACTCCCCATACTTGGAATTACACCATTTGAAGCCAACATTGCTTCTCTTAAGATGCAAATATTTTGGCGAAAAGAGGTTCATAAACTCTTATGGCCATTTACTTCCAGATTTTCCTAACAAGAAAGGTAGATAGGCATGGGTTTGAATAGAAGAGATTGAGGATAATGCGGTCACTTTCAAGGGGAGCTAGGTCTTTGGTGTTCTACATGGATGAACATTTGCAATCAGCTGACACTGAATGTCACCACTTCTGTTCCAGACATCCCAAGGGACATTCTGCACCTTAGGTCTCTCTGCCCATATCTTAGTCCAGGCTGTCTTATGCCTACAGGACAAAGAGGAAGACTCAGATCGTCCTGTATTTCACCTCCATCCATGTGCCATGAATTTGAAATGCCACCATCAGACACACATTGCCTTCATGTGTGGCAATGGAAGGAAGTGTCCCAGACTCAAGCACAGCAAACAGAACATGATTTCTGTTAGGAATAGAAGATCACTTGGATGTTTATCCATTCCAGCATTCATATCTGTCAGCAATATTCTATCTGGGCACGGTGGCTCACACCTGCAATCCCAGCACTTTGGAAGCTGAGGCGGGTGGATCATGAGATCAGGAGATCAAGACCATCCTTGCCAACATGGTGAAACCGCATCTCTACTAAAAATACAAAAATTAGTCAGGCATGGTGGTATGCACCTGTAATCCCAGCTACTCAGGAGGCTGAGGCAGGAGAATCACTTGAACCCAGGAGGAAGAGGTTGCAACTGCACTCCAGCCTGGAGACAGAGAAAGACTGTCTTAAAAAAAAAAAAAAAAAGGAGAAAAAGAAAACAAAAAACAAATAAACCAATATTCTATTAAGGGGTAGGCCACTGTCCTTGCATACTTCCTACAGGCATGAAAGAGCACTACCATTTCATGTTCAAACAGATATGCTTCTGGAAGAGCTTCCTCTTACTTCTATGACTACTAAACATTTGTTGGGCACCTTCTACTCAGCAGACTCAGTTCTAAGCACTATACATGGATTAACTTTGAGCACACAGATGTTTGTCACAGTCCCAGTTAACTCATATCATGCTGAACTAGGCATACTTTTCAGGTGTGATTGATTCAGCACATTGATGGGACTCCACACCTCCCTTATTCTATATTAACCGCCTCAGATTTTATTGGGGAATCACTTGGCCAGGAGTGGCTGGCTAAAATGCAGATTCTCTGGGCTGCATTCCCAGTCATTATGATTCCGTAAGTCTGACTTTAGGTCTACAAATTTGTATTTTAAACAGGAATCTCCGATGTTACAGTTGCAAGCAGTCCAAGAACCAGACTTTGAGAATCTCTCCTGTGGTCCTGATGCTTCTGAGAATGCAGGTTGATGTTGCACTAACTTTCAAAGGTAACTGTTGTGCTTCAGGATTATGTTGGATATACAGCCAGTAAAATGTACCTATGTCTGCCTGTAAGCTGATCTCTCCCATACTATGTATTCCTCTGGGACCCACAGAAAGATTTCCCCTGTGTAAGCCCAGCTGATTAAATTTGGCCCATCTTTCTGATATACCAAGATCATTTGGGGTATATATTCTATCCCTCTCAAGTTAGAGCCATTAGCAACCATGTCTGGTGTGCTCACTGTATCCTCATCTGTAAATAGAAAACGACTTTTTATTAGACAGGATGGATGACAGAGCCTGCACCTCCCCCTAAGACCTCCTGCCCTATAGCCAGCCTCTTTTGGACCCAGTTGTGTGCACTTAAAAGCAAAGCATTGGCGTTTTCCCATTGTGTCCCTCTAGAGTGTAACTGTATCTCTAAAGTCATGAAGGTAATGTGTGTCTGATGGTGGCATTTCAACTCTGTGGCACATGGATGGAGGTGAAATACAGGACAATCTGAGCCTTCTGACTTATTCTGATGGGTGCTGATGGGTACAGATGCAGAAGGCTGTGTTTTTGGCTGCACTGGTTACCTCTCCCCTGATGGGATCTGGGCTGCTGACCACAGCCGACTCCAGGACAGCAGGATGCTCTGCCAGGGCACTTTCTACTTCAACGGGCCCAATCCGGTAGCTGGAAGGGAAAAACAAACTCTTCAAGTGGGCTTCCCTCAACCCCCATGAAGTTTCAAAGGGAGAAAGGACATGTAGACAGCTTGACCTTGAAGAATTAATCACATCATCATTTCTTCCCATGAACCAAAAGTAGCCATCCTTGTCCATGCGAGCTCGGTCCCCTGTGATGTAAAAGTCCCCCTGTTCTGATGCAGCGGTCTTCTCAGGATTATCCTGAAAGACAAAGAAAGCCTGTGAAGGACCCTCTGGGAACAGCCACTAAGTCCAGCTACTGCCCCAGCAACCCCCTGTCAGAAACTGGCGACCGCTCAACAGAAAGTTCAGCAGTTCCTAAAGTCCAGGCTGGCCAGAGTTCCCCACTGGTCAGGGAGCTATGGCCGTTTGGTTGTGGAGTTTTCCTCTTTTGATTGGAATCAAGCTGCCAGCAAATGGTTAAAGGCAGCCACTCACCACATTTTTAGAAGGGGGTCTAGAAAGCATAGTTGAAAGCAGAAGAGTGGACACAGGGCCACTGACTGTGTTTTTTAGGACAAAAGAACACACGAATACTCATTGCCTCAGGAATCACTGAGGGTAGAAAGTGAAGGGCTAGGCTGGGCGTGGTGGTTCATGCCTATAATCTCAGCACTGTGGGACACTGAGGTGGGTGGATCATTTGAGGTCAGGAGTTTGAGACCAGCCTGGCCAACATAGTGAAAACCTGTCTCTACTAAAGATTAAAAAATTAGCTGGGCGTTGGTGGCACACATCTGTAATCCCAACTACTAGGGAGGCTGAATCAGGAGAATTGCTTGAACCCAGGAGGTGGAGGTTGCAGTGAGCCAAGATCACCCCACTACACTGCAGCCTGGGTAACAGGGCGAGACTCCATGTTGGAAAAAAAGAAGAGAGAAGAGAAGAGAGAGGAGAGAGAAGAGAAGAGAAGAGAAGAGAAGAGAAGAGAAGAGGGAAGGGGGGGAGGGGAGGAAGGAAGGAAGGGAGAGAGAGAGAGAAGGGCTCATCAAAAAGCCTATTAGTGTGGGGCAAGAGTAAAGAGAAAAACAATCGAACTCTGATTTTCAAAGTTTTAAAGAAAAGCTAATATTCAGCAATTAAAAAATGTACTAATACATGCAACCACACAGATGACTTGCAGAAACATCATGCTGAGTAAAAGAACCTGGACAAATCTGAATAGTTTGTGATTCCATTTATATGAAGTTCTTTTTCAAAAATATCAAATTTGTAATGACAACAAATAATTTATCAATTGCTGGGGTCTGGAGTGGAGAGGGTTGCCTGTCAAGGAGAATGAGGGAGCATTTGGGACTGAAAAATGTTCCATATTTGACTGTGGTGGCGATTACATGGGGGCATACATGTGTTAAAAGTCATTGACATGCACACTTAACATGGGTGAATTTTATTGTATGCAAATTATATCACAATTCAACAAGTACATTCTGAGAAAAAAGAAAAAATATAAGCTACCAATACCTACAAATATATCTAACACACAATCTCTAAGGTGTGTTTACAGAAACTTAAAAGTCTACACATTAAAGAAGATATAAATAAAATGAAAGAAAGGCTTAACTGGCTGGACGTGGTGGCTAACACCTGTAATTCCAGCACTTTGGGAGGCCGAGGAGGATGAATCACAAGGTCAGGAGGTGAAGACCAGCCTGGCCAACATGGAGAAACCCCGTCTACTAAAAATACAAAAATGAGCTGGCTGTGGTGGTGGGTGCCTGTAATTCCAGCTACTTGGGAGGCTGAGGCAGGAGAATCGCTTGAACCCAGGAGGCGGAGGCTGCAGTGAGCCAAGATCACCCCACTACACTCCAGCCTAAGTGACAGAGACTCTGTCTCAAAACAAAACAACAAAACAAAACAAAAAATAATTAATAGAGATGTCAATTATCCTTAATTTGTTTTATAGACAATACAGTTCTAATCAAAATACTAGCAAATATTTTTCATGGAACTCGACAAGTTGATTCTAAAATGTAAATGAATGAGCAAAGGGCTAAGAATAGGTAAAACCCTTCTACGTAAGTTGAATAGAAGTCTACATATGAAGACTTATGGTAATGCTTTTGTGGATAAGGCTTTATGGTATCAGTACAGGTACACAGCAAGTGATCGAGGAATACCAGAAAGTGCCAAAATCTATCTATGACTATATCAAACTTTTTATTTATTTATTTATTTATTTATGTATTTGAGATGGAGTCCTGCTCTGTTGCCCAGGCTAGAGTGCAGTGGTGTGGTCTCGCCTCACTGCAAACTCTGTCTCCCAGGTTCAAGCAATTCTCCTGTCTCAGCCTCCTGAGTAGCTGGGACTGCAGGTGCCCACCACTACACCCAGCTAATTTTTGCATTTTTAGTAGAGAAGGGGTTTCACCATATTGGTCAGGCTAGTCTTGAACTCCTGACCTCAGGCGATCCACCCACCTTGGCCTCCCAAAGTGCTGGGATTACAGGCGTGAGCCACCACACCTAGCCCATATCAAACTTTTATATCTGACAAAATTAGCATGACAGATAACTGGGAAGAGGAGGATTTATTCAACAAAATGATTTTTCATGTAGAAAAAAACAAAATAGATTCCTATCTCATTTCATGCACATATCAACCAGAGATGGATTATAAACTTTTTTTTTTTTTGAGACAGAGTCTCGCTCCTTTGCCAGGATGGATTGCAAAGGCATGATCTTGGCTCACTGCAACCTCCGCCTCCTGGGTTGAAGTGATTCCTCCTGCCTCAGCCTTCCCAGTAGCTGGGACTACAGGTGGCTACTACCACGCCTCGCTAATTTTTTTGTATTTTTAGTAGAGACAGTGTGAGCCACATTAGCCAGGATGGTTTTAATCTCCTGACCTTGCGATCCACCCACCTTGGCCTCCCAAGGATTATAAACTTTAATGTCAAAAGCAGAACTTTAAAACTATTAGAAGAAACTGTAAGTGAATATGTGTATTTTCTACCCCAAAGTTGAAAATTATTTCATAAGACACAAAAAGCATTATCCATAAAATTTAAAAACTTATTAATTTGATGACATGGAAATGAATGCTTCTGTTCAACAAAAAGAAGGTAAAAGAGAGCGAAAAGATAAGCTACAACCTGGGGAGAAGATGTTAACAACTATTATGACAAACAAAGGACCAATATCAAGAATATATTAAGAACTCCCATAGGCTAGGCATGGTGGCTCATGCCTGTAATCCTAGCATTTTGGGAGGCTGAGGCAGGTGGATCACTTGAGCCCAGGAATTCAAGAATAGCCTGGGCAACATGGTGAAATCCCATCTTTACATATATATATATATATATATATATATATATATATATATATATATTAGCTGGGTATGGTGGCGTGTGCCTGTAGTCCCAGCTACTTGGGAGGCTGAGGTGGGAGGATCACCTCAGCCCAGGAAGTTGAGGCTGCGGTGTGCCATGATTGTGCCACTGCTCTTCAGCCTTGGTGACAGAATGAGACCCTGCCTCCAAAAAAAAAAATTATATTAAATAGTTGCATAATATTTCTCTGTGGTGGTGATATTATGTATTTGAACAAATTCCTGATATTAGAAATTTTTGTTCATTTTTAAAGTTTTTTCTCTCTTCTTTTTCTTTTCTTTCTCTCTCTCTCTCTTTTTTTTTTTTTTTTTGCTTTTGTTCACAATGCTGTAATATAATCCTTTACATGACTAATTTCTGGTATTAGAAATTTAGATAGTCCCTTCACCTTTTTTCTGTTATAAACAGCCAGCACTATAACAAATGTTTGTGCATTTGACAGTTTGTTGCCCCAGGAAAATAAGCACATTGCTTATATGGGACATAAAGTTGACATGGGCATATTCATTTAACTGACATGTGCAATTTCAGATAAATGGGAATGACCGATGTGAATTTGAAATGTTTATGTTTATTGTGGAGGAAGAATGAGCCTAGCTTATAAATTCTGATGATCACCCATCAATCACAGAACAATTTTGGTCTGACATTCTCTATAATAATCTTCACATGTTTCATGATTCTCACAAAGAGATTTAATATTTTTTCTCTTAATTAAGAATGAGCTGGGCCGGGTACTGTGGCTTACACCTGTAATCCCAGCACTTTGAGAGGTTCAGGTGGGCAAATCACTTGAAGCCTAGAATTAGAGACGAGTCTGACCAAGATGGCAAAACCCTGTCTCTACTAAAAATACCAAAATTAGCCCAGTGAAGTGGTGTGCGCAGTTACTTGGGAGACTGAAGCACGAGAATTGCTTGAGCCCAGGAAGCAGATGTTGCAGAGAGCTGAGATTGCGCCACTGTACATCAGCCTGGGTGACAGAGTGAGACCCTGTCTCAAAAAAAATAATGTAAAAGAGAAGCAGTTACTGAATTATTCCAGAAACTTGGACAAAAATCCCAGGACACAAGCACTGCTAAAAAAACCACAAAAGAGAATCCTGAAGACAGACACAGTAGTGCAGTTTGACCTTTATTTATTTATTTATTTATTTATTATTATTTTGAGGAATCTCAGTCCCTTGGCCAGGCTGGAGTGCAGTGGCACAATCTCTCTGGCTCACTGCAACCTCCTCCTCCTGGGTTCAATTCGATTCTCCTGCCTCAGCCTCCCAAGCAGCTGGGATTACAGGCACGTGCCACAACGCTCAGCTAATTTCTGTACTTTTGGTAGAGACGGGGTTGCACCATGTTGACCAGGCTGGTCTTGAACTCCTGACTTCAGGTGATCCAATTACCTCAGCCTCCCAAAGTGCTGGAATTGGAAGTATGAGCCACTGCACCCTGCCACAGTTTGACCTTGAGAAACTCCTTTCCTTTCCTACACCTTGATTTTCTTCTCATTGAAACAATGGTGCTGCCCTCATGTCACATGTTTCCCCTTTCAGACACACCCATGTTTCAATCCCGTGTCCTGCCTGTCCTAGTTACATGATGCTGGATAAGTCACTTCACCTTTGTAGTAGCTTTCTTATCAATAGTCTTCCTTATCAATAACAGAACTTTATCAGTAATAATAGCAACCTATTTCATGCAGTCATTGTAAGGATTAAACAAATAGATATTTACAAAGTATGGTGCACAATGCTTAGCACACAGTCACTGTCATGAGAACAGCTGTTCCCTGCCTCTTACCAAATAGCAATTGAAGAAACAGAAGGGCCGGGTGGGTCTGATGCGGACGGCAACATTCCCCTCTTCTCCAGGAGGCAGGATGTTGCCTTCATCATCCACAATCTGGCAGGGAGATCACAGAGGTGCATATATGAGTGTCTACACCCTGGGCCATTCCAGCAGCCCAGCAGCCTGTGCCAGCTAGGCCTGTGCATCTTTCTCCTCTTCACACCAGGCTTCGCCAGAAGTTGTGAGAGGCTGCTACCTGCACATCATAGGGTGGAGACGCCTTCCCCATGGATCCAGACTTGATTTTCATGCCTTTTGGATTGGCACAGATGACAACCTGGGGAGAAAGCAGTACTGATAAAGGAGAGCCTTTCTATTCACTTCTTTACTGGGCCATGTCTTTCTCTCACCTTGACTGCTAACTCTTTCTCTCACCCTCTTCTTCCTCCACCCTCACTTTCTTCTTTCTTTCCCTTCTCCTCTCTCACTTTCTCTCTTTTCTTCTTATTTTTTTCATCCTCCCTCACTCCTTTCTTTCCTTCCTTTCTTTACTCTTTCCTTTCTCTTTTTCTGTTTTCTTCCTTCCCTCCTTCATTTTTCTTCTTTCCCTTTTTTTTTTTTTTTTTAAGACAGCCTCGCTCTTGTCACCCAGGCTGGAGTGCAGTGGTGCCATCTCCGCTCACTGAAACCTCTGTCTCCTGGGTTCATCCTAAGCCTCCTGAGTAGCTGGGATTACAGGTGTGTGCCACCACCCCCGGCTAATTTTTGTATTTTTAGTAGAGATGGTATTTCACCATGTTGGTCAGATTGGTCTCGAACTCCTGACCTTGTGATCCACCTGTCTCGGCCTCCTAAAGTGCTGGGATTACAGATGTGAGCCACTATGCCCGGCCATCCTCCTTTTTTCCTTCCTTTCCCCCTTATTTCCTTCTCCATTTTCTTATCTCCTCCCTTCATTTTTCTTCCCTGTTTCCTTTCTTCCTTCCTTTCTTTTCCTCTCTCTTTCTTTTATTTTCTTTCTCCCTTCCTTCCTCATTTTCTTCCTTCTTTCTTGCCTTTCTTAATTTCTTTCTTTTTGTTTCTTTCTTTTTCTTTCTTTCATTCTTTCTTCTTTTCTTTCCGTAGTCAACAAACATTTATGGGGTACTCCAGTGAGCACTCAAACACAAAGAACTTAATGCATCTTTAAGCCAAAAGACTCAGTTGATCCCTAGATCTCTTCCTATATGGCTATAGAGGATGTTGCTTAGAATTTTAGACTCTGAACAGTGGCAGATGTAGGCTGTCTTGGTAGAGACAAACAATGCCCTCAGCAGTGAGGGCTGGCTTGCTGGTCATGATATAATTGTAAAAGTACTTTAAATTACCTTTTTTAACTTTTAAGAAATTGTGTATGTGTGTTTAAATAGCTTTTTGGGTACAAGTGTTTTTTTGTTACATGGATGAATTCTATAGCAGTGACTGCTGAGATTTTAGTGCATCTGTCACCTGAGTAGTATACATTATACCCAATAGGTAGTTTTTTTTTTTAACCTCATTCCCCTCCTCCCCCTTCTTCCTTCTGAGTCTCCAAAGTCTTTTATACCACTCTGTATGTCTTGCATCCTTATGGCTTAGCCCCTGCTTATAAGTGAGAACATACCGAAATCAAAAGGGAAGGAAAGCTGATGGAGTTTTGTTATCAGCTTCTCCCCTGGGGGCAGGGCAGTCCCTGAGTAGCTTCAGGAAGGTGACAGACAGGAGAGGTAGGAAGCTCTGAGGGGATATGAGGCAGCGACCTGGCCCCTCCATCACTCACTGTTTCAGACTGGCCATAGCCCTCGTACAGCTCCACACCAGTTTGGCGCTTCCACTTCTCCCTCACGTCAGGGTTGAGGGCCTCTCCTCCGGTTAGACAGTGCCTCAGGCTCTGAAACTGGTACCTTGCTCAGGAGGGAAAACAAGGCCACTTTTGTCAGGATCTTCATGGCACCCGCCCTCCGGTGCCACTGCCCAGATGCAAACACCCACAGGCCCTAGAGGATAGATGCCCCTGCATTTTAATCAGCTCTAAGTGCACTCATCCTCTGGCTTCACAACCATAATCCTCATGGACAGATAATTTTTAAAAGATTCATCCTATCTGAGTTTGAGATAAAATCAGAAGCTCATATAACAGGTTTTGGCATAATATGGTGAGTTCCAGGTGACTTGGCCGAAATAATTTAATTGGAAAAAAAATGATTGATAATAAACTGGTTTGGACAGTGATCTGATTGAAAAAGATAAATCAATTAGAAATTGAAAAGATAGGTCAGACACTGTGGCTCACACCCGTAGTCCTAGCATTTTGGGAGGCCAAGGTGGGCAGATGGCTTGAGCTCAGGAGTCGAAGACCAGCCTGGGCAATATGGTGAAACCTTGTCTCTGTCAAAAATACAAAAAATTAGCCAGGCTGGGGGCACATACCTGTAGTCCCAGCTACTTTGGAGGCTGAGGAGGAAAACTGGAGCCTGAGAGATAGAGGCTGCAGTGAGCTGAGATTGCGCCACTGCACTCCAACCTGGGTGACAGAGTGAGAACTGAAAGAAGAGAAAGAGAGAAAGAGGGAAAGAAAGAGAAAGAAAGGAAGGAAAAGAGAGAGAAAGGGAGAAAGAGAAAGAAGAAAAAGAAAGAAAAGATAACTGAAAAGATAGCTCCTAAGAATCCCAAAATTCTGAAGAATGGGCCAAAAATTCCTACAGATATTAATTATGTTGCAAAATGTCCTCTCTGTTCAACAAATCATCCAAACTGTAAAAAAAATTAGTGATTGCAAGTACAGTTTCAATCCTGGTGGAGAGGGGAGATCAAATTGGTTTGATTAAGTTACTTAGTATTACCAAATAGCATTCAATGACATGTTCTTGACAAGGTACTAGGAGCCTGCTTTCAGCTAAAATTATAATATGGAGATGCACACATCAAAGCAATGAATGGGATGAATTTCTTACATTGTAGAAGAATTCCCCTTAGAAGTATGTAAGAACTCCCTCTTTTGGACACTTTGTGGGTAGATTCCTGTTACTAGGGAAGATGAGACGGGGACAGGATGACTCATGACTTGGAGGAGGACAAAAGAGGGAGAGCAGGTCAGGGTTGGAAGGTACTGAAGGACAGTGGGCCTCTGCCCATATGCCACAGCAGCTAGTCCTGTTCTGCCAGAAGATGTTGCTCTGGCTCCACCCAGGATGGAACCATCCTCAGCGTCTTGTCCCCTTCTCTTGGGTGCCCAATGGCATGATCTTAGAGAACAATTGGCTGGGGTTAGTCTGAGGAAGAGAGTCGGCGCATCCATACACTGTGGTGTGGGCTTGTTAGTTTTGCCAGACCTGAGGGCCCTGGCCACAAATCCTACTCCATAGGTGGCTAACAATTGTCCCATCATTTCTCTTGCCTCACAGAAGTAGCAGAGATGTTGCTGAGAGAATAGCCCATGGGTGTATGGTGTGGGTTGAAGCCTATCTCAGGTGCTAAAATTTCAGACTGCCTTAAATCTATTTGATTCCATATGGATACAAATTTTGGGGAGCCAGAAGCTTGTTCTTGAGGGGCATCTGTGAGGTTTACAGGCGTGTGGACTTGTCAATGTGTATGCTTGTATAAATGTGTGTGCGAGAGAGAGAGAGAGAGACAAAGGCAGAAACAGAAAAAATATATAGAGAGAGACAGAGAGAGTTGGAATGAGAGGATAGTTGTGTGTGTGTGGATACCCATGCTATATATTCACATATTTAGGCTCTCGAAGCACCAAACAGATGGGCTGTACCTGGTCAGATCCTCCTGCACAAGCAGTCGAAAGATGGTTGGGACACAGCAAAGGGTGGTTATCGGGAATGTGGAGAGAGTCTAGACAAAAACAAAAGGTGAAAGATGTCCTTAGAATCACTGAGGTGGGACCATGAAGATGGAGCCAAAGGCACTACATCTTTATATTCTCACTACCAAAGCAGAGAAGTTGAAAACTGTGTGTGGCATCCAGCCTCCAAGATGGTGCCCAATGACCCCCCACTTCCTGACATTTGCATCTTTGAAGGAATCCCCTCTCCTGTCATATCAAAGTGGGTCTGTGACAGCAATGACACACTGCTGAGGTGACAAATACCACTTTCAAGATTCAGTTGTACAAAGACTATGGCTTTTGTCTTGGATGTTCTTACTCTTTCTCCCTTTCTTGGATCCTTTGTTCTGGGGAAAGGAAGCCATGATGTTTTCAGTATGCTCAAGCCATCCTATGGACAGGTGCACACAGTGAGAAACTGGAGCCTCTAGCAAACAGCCAGTGAGAAATTGAAGTGTACTAAAAACCACCAGTGAGTTTTTAAGCAGTTTTCCAGCTTCAATCAATCCTTAAGATGATTGCAGTCCTAGCTAATATCTTTTTAAAAATTATTGTGGTAAAATACAACATAAAATTTACCTGTTGGAATAACTTTTAAGTGTATAGTCTGGCGGCATTAAATATTTCCACAGTGTTGTGCCATTATCACTACCATCCACCTCCAGAACTATTTTTATCTTCTCAAACTAGGTACCCATTATACAATAATTTCCCATTATTCTTTCCCCTAACTCCTGGCAAACACCATTGTACTTTCTGTCTCTATGAATTTGACTACTCTAGGTATCTCATATAAGTGGAATCATACAGTAATTGTCCTTGTATGACTGGTGTGTTTGACTTAGCATGATGTCCTCCAGGGTTATCCACGTTATATTGTATAACAAGATGTCCTTCCTTTTTAAGGCTGGGTAATATTCCATTGTATGTATATATCACACTTTGTTTATTCATTTATCTGTTGATGGACACTTGTGTTGCTTTCACCTTTTAGTTATTGTTAATGCTGCCACAAACATGAGCATACCTTGCTGACCTCTTGATTTGCAACTTCATGAGAGATCCTACTCCCAAACCCCCTCATTAAGCTGCCTCCAGCTTCTTGACCATCAGAAACTGTGAGATAAATGCCTATGTTTTAAACTGCTAAGTTTGGGTATAATTTATTACATAGCAATAGATAATGAAAACACTATGTCATAGCTGGGGATAGTGCAAGGAGAAGGTTCATACATTGGCTGATCAAGCACTACATGGATAATGATGGTGATGAGTTTGATCATGATGATAACAATCAATATGTATTAAGAATTTACCCTATTTGGTCCACCATGCAATACCAGCTTACTCCTGCAAGAATGGCCATAATCAAAAAATTTTAAAAAAAACCATATATGTTGGCATGGATGTGGTGAACAAGGAACACTTCTACATTGCTGGTGGGAATGTAAACTGGTATAAAACAATGTAGGATTCCTTAAATAACTGAAAATAGAACTACCATTTGATCTGGCAGTCCCACCACTGGATATCTAGCCAGAGAAAAAGAAGTCTTTATATGAAAAAGATACTTGAACATGCATGTTTGTAGCAGCACAGTTTGTAATTGCTATCTATCTATCTATCTGTCTATCTATCGGAATACTACTCAGCCATAAAAAGGAATGAATTAATGGTATTCACAGGGACCTGGATGGATTGGAGACTATTATTCTAAGTGAAGTAACTCAGGAATGGAAAACCAAACAGTTTATGTTCTCCCCCGTAAGTGGGAGCTAAGCTATGAGGATGCAAAGCTATAAGAATGACATGATGGGCTTTGGGGACTTGAGGGAAAGAATGGGAAGGGAGCAAGGGTTAAAAGACTACAAACTGGTTGCAGTGAATACTGCTCAGGTGATGGGTGCGCCAAAATCTTACAAATAACCAGTAAAGAACTTATTCATATAACTAAACACCACCTGTTCCCCAATAACCTATGAAAATAAATTTTTAAAAATCTACTAAGTTTGGAGGCAACCTAAGTGTCCATCAACAGATGAATGGATAAAGAAAATGTATATATACACAATGGAGGCAAAAAAAAAAAAAAAAAAAAAGAATGAGGTACTGTCATTTGCAGCAACATGGGTGGAACTGGCAATCATTATGTTAAGTGAAAAAACTCAAACACAGAAAGACTAACTTCACATGTTCTCACTTATTTGTAAGATTTAAAAGTCAAAACAATTGAACTCATGGAAATAGAGATTAGAAGGATGATTATATCAGAGGCTAGGAAGGGTAGTGGGGCGCTGGGAGAAAGAGGAGGATGGTTCATTGGTACCAAAATAATAGAATGAATGAATAAGATCTGTTATTTGAAAGCACATCAGGGTGGCTATAGTCAATAGTAACTTAATTGCACATTTAAAAATATCTAAAAGTATAATTAGATTGTAACACAAAAGATAAATGCTTGAGGGAATGGATACCTCCCCTCTATGATGCGATTTTCATGCATTGCATGCCTACATCAAAACATCTCATGTACCCTATAAAAATATACACCAATCTCCTCCCTCCCTATGAGAAGACCCTGGGAGGCTGAGCAGGAGTCAGTCACCAGGACTCTGCTTGGGCCGGTTACTCATGCTAAACACCATGGACAGGAGCATTTGGAGTTGAGGCATAGACTGATTTTGCCTAAGGGTTTGACAAATACCTAGAGTTTCGGCAAGAGCATAGGAAAGAAAGTGGTGGAGACAGGGACACCCCCATGCAGTAGAAATAGAATATGCACAGGTTTGGATATCTAGGAATCTAGGTAGAAAGTAGGCAATGATTGAAGAGAACCAGGTGGTCAGGAATCAGGAAGGCTGGGGAGCCACACCAAAGAAGCCTTAAATTCACTGATTCATGTGTTTTCTCCTGCAGCCTAGAATCTGTATCGCACTCATCTCACTTATACCAAACACATATGGGTGTTGTTGGTTTTTCTTCTTACATTCAGGATAACTTTGGCATCAACTCGGGGCAGCTCATGCACAAAAATGCAAGATCCATTAGGCCAGGCAGAGAAGAGAGTCCAGGCTGCCTTCACCCAGCCAGTGTCAGTCGTGTTCCAGAAGATGTCAGATTCGGTCAAGGCCACCCACCGTCTGCCAAAAATTAGAGAATGTCAGCACCCTTGGCAATGATTCTACCTTTAAAAGAGGATTGTATCATTTATATCATCTCATTTGGAACCCTGCACACAGTGGGTACTCACTTATACTTGTTATACCTGAACAAGAACCATTAGGCCAACTATTGTCTCAACAAGCATTAATTGAGCATCTTCTACATATCTATGCCCTAGGCTAAGAATACAGAAGCAAAAGAGTTTCTAAAAAGTTCACAGTCCAGTGAATGTGATCTATAAGGGGAAAAAATTAACCTCAATACTGCGCTAAGGTCATTTTATTTAGCCAACATTTATTTAGCACTTAGTCCAGATTTAGCATTAGGGATATAGAAAAGAATGACTAGTCTTGCTTTGAGAGGCTTATAGTTAGGAAGTATAAATATCTAGGAGGTCCCTGGAGAGCATATTTTAATAGAGCTAAACTTAAAGCCTTGTGCAATTATAGAGAATAGGACCTAACCTAGAGCAATGACGGAGATGGGCTTCTGAGAAATGCTCCGTTAGAGGAGGTGACACTTGAGTTAGACATAAACAATGCATAGGGATTATATAGGTGAGGCAGAGAACCAGGAGCATCCCAAGAATGGAAAGCAGTGTCTGAAAATGTGGAAGACAGAAAAGTGATCATGCACTTGAATTCTGGGACGCACGCACTACTGGTTCTCCTCCTTTTTGTTAGCTGTTCCGACTCAGTCTCCTCTGCTGAGTCCTCCTGGTCTCCCCTTTCAGTGCAGAAATGCCTCAGGCACTCAGTCCTGAGACCCATTCTCTTTTCAGTTTATATTACAATTTGCTGATCTCATCCTATCTCACAGTATTAAATACCATCTTTGCACTGATAAGTCCAGCATGAATCTTTCTCATTAACTTCAGACATGTATATCCAGATGCCCACTCAACATCTCCACTTTTAACAAGAGGATAGAAATGTCTCAGAAGCCTCTCAAATCGACAACTCCATAAACTCTTTGCTTTCTTCCCACCATACAGCTTATCCCACAGTTCTTCCCCCATCATTTAGTGCTTCCGGTTATTCAGGCCATTCCACTTACAGCCATGCTTGACTCCTCCTTCTCATTCCACATTGAATCTGTCAGCAAGTCTTATTGAGTCTAGATTGAAAATATATTCAGAATCTCATCTCTTCTCTTACTACTACTCCCCCACCATGCTTGCCTCTTAATGCATTGGTCATCTTGTTTACTTGTTTTCCCTACAGTTCATTGTCAACCCAACATCCTGAGTGAGCCTTTCAAAAAACATATGAGATTATGTCACTCCTCATTTCAAAATATCCAATGCTTCTCAAAAAAAATCAAACACAGAATTACCACATGGTCCAGCAATTTCACTTCTGCATGTATAAAAGAATTAAAAGCAGAAACTCAAACAGGTACTTGTATGTCAGTGTTCATAGCAACATGATTGACGATAGCTGTAATGTGGAAGCAACCCAAGTGTCTATCAACAGATGAATGGATTATTTAAAATGTGGTCTATCCATACAATGGAATATTTTTCAGTCTTGGAAGAAAATTTTGACACATGCTACAACATGGATGAACTTTAAAAATGTTATGCTAAGTGAAAGAAGCCAATTGCAAAACAAAAGGACAGACTGCATGATGCCAATCATGCAAAATACCTAGATTATCAAATTCATAGAGATGAAAGGTAAAATAGAGGTTACCAGGGGCGAGGGGAGAGGGTAATGGGATGTTACTGTGTAATGGGGGCAGAGTTCATTTGGAAAGATAAAATAAATTCTGAAAATGGATGGTGATGATTGTTATACAACAGTGTGAATATGTTTAATGACATTAAACTGTACACTTAAAATGGTTAAAAGGGTAATATATATATATATATATAGAGAGAGAGAGAGAGAGAGAGAGAGAGAGAGAAAGAGAGAGAGAGAGAGAGCCATGTTTTAAAAAAACCTCCAATAGCTTTTCACCTCACTCAGAGTAAAATCCAGAACCATCGAGATCCTTCCCAAGCTGCCCCATTGGCTCTCTGACCTCAGCTCCTGACACCTTCTCCCTCACACCACCCCCACCAGCCCACTCATCACTTTCTGTTCTTGGACCCTCTAGACAAGCTGCTCTGGTACCTTCCGCTGGCCACAAAACCCAGTCCGTAGCTGCTCTGGGAGTGCTCGACCATTTTGGGGGCTCCGGTTGTTCCACTGGTGAAGTAGATGGCCAGCGGGTCTCGACTCTTTGTCCTCACGCAGTTGTGCTCTGTAGATGCCTCTCTGTAAAAGGTAAAAAATCTTGGTGGCACTACCATAGTAAAAATAGTGGCACCTATAACATGTATAACAGCAATATGACTACCATTTCATAATACCACGTGTGAGGTGCTGTGCTGAGAGCTCCGGCTTGGGTCATCTGCAACCGCCTCATGGGGTATGTACTATCATTATAACCCTTTTGCAGACAAGGAAACTGAGGCTCAAAATGGTTAAATAACTCACTCAAAAGAGCCCATGCCTTCTTACCAAGGCATGAGGACTTTGTGGTAGAACACACACATGTCCGTGTCTATAATTCTACACATTTAGGCACAGTTTCCACCCCACCCCATTTATTATTATGAACAAATTTAATTATTATTAAATTTAATAATTTAGAACTGTTTTCTAAAGGTTTCCCCCAATATGGGGTTTTGAGATCTAGATAATTCCCAAAGTTCTGTGATCTGGATAATCAGCTAATCTACTGGCTCTCAACCCTGGGTGTACCTTGAAGTTCTCTAGTGCAGTTTTGGAAGAAACTTGCCTGTACCCACTCTGAACAAAATAAAATCAGAATCTTTGATGTTTTCTTAAATGCTTCTCAGGTAATTTTAATAACAGCCAAAATTGAGAACCACTGATCTAGGCCCACCTGACAGCTCATCAAAATATTATGGGCTGATTTTTTATTTTTTTATTTTATTTTTTGAGACAGAGTTTTGCACTTATTGCCCAGGCTGGAGTGTAATGGCACAATCTCGGCTCACCACAACATCTGCCTCCCGAGTTCCAGCAATCCCCTGCCTCAGCCTCTCGAGTAGCTGGGATTACAGGCATGTGCCACCAGGCCCAGCTAAATTTGTATTTTTTAGTAGAGATGGGGTTTCTCCATGTTGGTCAGACTGGTCTTGAACTCCTGACCTCAGGTGATCTGCCCGCCTCAGCCTCCCAAAGTGCTGGGATTACAGGCATGAGCCATTGCACCCAACCCTATGGGCTGATTTTTGAAAACAGAGCCTCAGGGCTCTTGCTCAGCTGTCTGGTTAAGTAGGTCAGATGTGAGGCCTTGTAATCTATATACAAAACAGCACCCAGGTGAATCTGATGCAGCCAGTCTGTGGGGTGAACATTTGTGACTCAATGGTTCAGGCGCCTGAGAGGCCCCTTTTGGGTTCTGGCTTCCAATCAGAACAAAGTCCCAAATTCTCAGATGGGTTTCCACCAGGTCCCTGCTCCAAGGCAAATGTGGTCTTGGCTCTACCCAATCCTGACTTGACTACTCTTTAGCACCTTGGGCAAGTAACTTTAGTTTTCCAAGTCTCAGTTTCCTCATCTGTAAAACTGGGTTAAAGTGCACATTCTAATGTCCTTTTCAGGGATTAAATAAGATGATGTCTTATCCATTATGGTGTTCTGAACACCAAACACAATGCTTGTCACAAAATGTATGTTCATTAATTCTTTGTTACATGAATGAATGAAGGTGAAGGTTTATGTAGCACAGTATTGAACAATACCCTAAGTACCCAATACATGGCCACTAATTTATTATTAATTGACCACCTGCTGTGTACGAAATGCACCATATAGGTTATTTCATATACTCTGGATTGTAGCTCTAATAACTACCACCACCATTGTAGAAGCATGAAGCACAGAAAAGCTGCTGACAAATCCAGCACTGACTGAATGGGTGACCGTGAACGTTGAGATAGTGACCAGGATTACGCTCATGTCAGTCTGGCTGCCAATGGGAGAGTTCCTGTCTGATTCACTCTCTATGTGTGAAATCAGTAAAGATTTCATCTTTTGTTGCTTAAAGGGGAAATGACTTCATTTTTCTACTGTTCTCCTGGAGAGCCCCAATTCACCGGAGGAGTTCCCTGAAGTTCAACCAGCCTGGCCGACTGCTCTCTGATACCAGCAGCTTGGTCTGGAGGGAGGGGCACTCAGCGCTGATGGCATCCACCCTTGGAGCTATGGAGTCACTGGTGATAATGGACTTGGCTCTGGATGCCTGCAGCCGGTACTTGAGATCCTTCTCCATCAGCTGAGTGACACCCGGAATCATGACAGCCCCTGGCATAAAACAGAAGGGGATGTTGACTGGATAGCAGGAGAGGATTTGGGTATAGAAGTAAGAGATGAGGACAAGAAGGGGCTGGGGAGGGTTGGAATGCCTCAGCTAGAAGAGGTAATAATAATAACAATGAAATCCAAAATATTTGTGAAGCATTTACATGTGCTAAGAACTTTTTTCTCCCTTCCTTCCTTCCTTCCTTTCTTCCTTCCTTCCTTTCTTTCTTTCTTTCTTTCTTTCTTTCTTTCTTTCTTTCTTTCTTTTTTCCTTCCTTCCTTCTTTCCTTCCTTCCTCCCTTCCTCCCTCCCTCCTCCCTTTCTCCCTCCTTCCCTCCTTCCCTCTCTCCCTCCCTCCTCCCTCTCTGCCTCCCTTTCCTTCCTTCCCTCCCTCTCTCCCTCCCTCCCTCCCTTCCATCCTCTCTTCTTTCCAGTGTCTCACTCTGTCACCCGCTGGAGCAGAGTGCTGTGATCATGGCTCACTGCAGCCTCGACCTCCCAGGCTCAAGCAATTCTCTTGCCTCAGCCTCCCGAACCTAGGACTACAGGTGTGCGTCACCATGCCTAGTTAATTTTTAAATTATTATATAGAGACAGGGTTTTCCCATGTTGTTCAGGCTGGTCTCCAGCTCCTGGGCTGAAACAATCTACCTGACTCAGCCTCTCAAAATGCTAATATTACAGACATGAGCCACTGTACCCAGCTAAATGCATTATTTCAACTGATTCTCACAATCCCAAGAAGTAGATCCAATTATTATACCCATCTTATAAAATTAAAATTTTAAGACTTACATCTTTATGCCTTAAATCAATTAAATAACATGACTAAGATCACAACCGAGATAAAATAACTAATATGTTTAGAGCTGGCATTGTGAAGCCAGGCAGTGGTGAACCTAAGTGTCTAAGATCTTGACCATGGTATTATATTGCCTTAGAGATTACCTACTGCAACTGTTTTCCATGCCTTTTAAACAAAATGCTACAATGAATCCTAATCATCATGTGGGTGTGTGTTGCTTGAGGCAATAAGGGAAGTGTAGCAGGTGGGGGATCCAGGACCCCCACAACCAAAGCCACTCTGATGGTAGCTGACTCCTCTTTAAAAAAATAAGAGTGAGGAAGCAGAAATCAGGGACAAATTTTGACAAATTAAAATTTTAATCGGATACTTGAAAACCACTTCATTGACTCAGAATGCAGATTATAAACATTCCATTGAGCACAACACTCTCACTTCACAGATGAGAAAAAAGAGGTACTAAAACAATCAGTGATCCCACCACAGCCAGATGGTGAGGACAAAAGACAAGAACCCATCTTAAGCAGCATAGTAGGCACACTAAACCACGTCCGGCTAATTTTTTATATTATAGTAGAGATGGGGTTTCACCATGTTGGCCAAGATGGTCTCTGTCTCCTGACTTTGTGATCCGTCTGCCTCAGTCTCCCAAAGTGCTGGGATTACAGGCCTGAGCCACTGTGCCAGGCCTATTTCGTTCTTTTCTAGATGTCTGTTCCAACCAGAGTTGTGGTTTTGGTGCTTTAGAGGCTGAGTTTGAGTGTGAGGCTGGAGCAGATGGATAGTCAGGGCTGTCAGTGAGAGAAAGTGGTCAGACCCCACAGACGGAAGTGAAGTGACAAATGTGTATGAGAACAGGGTCATTTGAGGATGTAGGGACATCTAACCGGAATATCTTCTAAAGCATCAGAGTGAATGCTAGACTTGGCGTGGCAACGTGGGACATGGCTCTGAGTTATTTTATTTAGCCATTAAAAGAATAATTGAGCCTATATAATTGGAGGAACTTGGGAAATTTAGGTAACATGGAAAAAATACTACAAAGGGACATTTCGATCATGGAAATTGTTTGACATGGTGCCTGGCACACAGCAGGTACCCAAGAAAAGCATAGGAACTTGTTGCACCTTGGCCCTCATTTAACCATAGTCATGGCAGAATGTGGATAACTCTCCAAACCTGTGTGCCTATTTCATTTCCTTAGAGCTGAATATGTTATAATGGTGCTTACTTTTATATATTGTGCAAAAATATGTGAAAATAAAATGTAAGTTTCTGCCTCTTTTTTGATAGTCCATTCACAAACTGGTTGTGTCATGCTTGTTCATATAAAAAGGTTAGATCCCTGATGTAAGCTTGTACTGCACTGTTTTGCAAACATTATTTGTGCAAACACCTGTCTTTCAAGTAGACTGCTTGAACACAACTAAGATCACAACTGAAAGGGAATAGACAACATTCTAAGTGGTCAAAAGTTGCTGGGTGATGGAGAAGCCATCTCTCCACCTTAAGCAGTTGTCCCATTTTGAAATCAGCCTAAAAGCCCTCACCTTCTGCATAAGTGCATGACCACTTATTCATTCAGTATCAGCAGAGGCTTGCTAGGCTCACTATGGCCTCTTGCCTCTTCTGTTTCTCTGCTGAAGGAACCATTCTAATAAGATAATGTTTCACTGCCCTGGACATTCATGACAACAGGAGGACCTGTCCACCCAACCTCCTGCAAGGGATAATATCACTGGTTCTTTTATTTCATCTTTATCTTCCTTCCTTTGGGAGATGGATGATGCTGTGATACTGAGAGTCATAAAGTCTAAGAGTGAAACTAACATAGATAGGTTATAAAAGTCCCTCATCTATAACTGCATTGTTCAGGTAAAATTCTAGCAACTAAAGCAAGGCTCCCAAACCACTACCAGCAGAAAATATACTTGGTTTGTCCCAGTCAGGACTTTTTAAAATGATAGATGCTAACATTAAAAGACGGGAGGATTTTTCATAAAAATCCAGAGTTTTCTGTTACAAATCAGAAGTTCTGATAACACTGGTACTCATTCTCTCATGGTAACATTTGATTGGAGTTGAGAAGTAGCAACCCCATTTAATAAAGCATGTGATCTCTAGTTTGCTGCAGTCCTCACCACTCCCTGCTGCCTTGTACTGGCCTGCTTTTATCAATTACATCACTGTCTGGCCCCTATTTTGCAATCAAGTCTGTGATTTTTGGGCAAATAGTAAACACACCTCCACATAGAGTTTATTTTTGCTCCATCTTCAAGAACCTGTAGACACTGCAAAGCTCTGGTAGGTTGCCTCTGTCCCCCAACTGAAATCCCCAGTCCTGCTTACTGACCTGTCCGCATACAAGCCACACTGACCAGCCACCACTCTGGGATCCTTGGGAGTACCAGCATCATTCTGTCCCCAGGCTGCAGGCCGCATGCACCGCCTAGCACATTGGCTGCCTTCCTGGACTGCTTCCCCAGCTCCTGAAAGCTCCACTTGACCTCTGCTCCTGTGCCATTGACCCACCAGAAGGCAGGATTTGGGGGGCGGTGTCCAGCCTAGATGGTGGTGCAGGTAGAAAAAAAAATAGATGCAATTCATTGAGAATTTTTGTTTTCTTGTTGTTTTTGAATGTTTTATAATAGTTAATATAAAAATTCACAGGGTTCAAAAAGCAAAGCAACGTGGAGAGACATGCATTGAAAAGGCTTGCTCCCCTCCTTGTACTTATCTGCCAGTTCTCCTCTTCCTCTGCCTCAGTGAGTAAACAATTTTTATTACTTTTTTGCATATCCTTCCAGAGTTTCTTTAGGCAAACACAAGCATATTTTTTCTACTATCTTTTTAATGCAAAAGGTAGCACATGATTTGCACTGTCTTCTGTTTTTCCCTTTTTTTTTTTTTTGAAATATAATTCAGGTATCATAAAAATCACCATTTTAAAGTGCACAACTCACTGGTTCTTAGTATATTCACAAGGTTGTGTAACCATCACCATTCTCTAATTCCAGAACATTTTTATTGCCACAAAAAGAGACACTGTACAAATTAGCAGTCCTTTCCCATTCCCTCCTCCTCTAGCTCCTGGCTACCAGTTATTTGCTTTCTTTCTCTATGGATTTGAATCTTCTGGATATTTCATATGAATGTAATCATACAACATGTAGCTTTATGTCTGGTTTCTTTAACTTCGTACAATGCTTTCACGATTTATCTGCATCACAGCATGAATTAGTTTTATTTTCTTTTGACTGCTGAATAATATTTAACTGCATGGATAGACCACATTTTGTTTATCCATTCATCAGTTGATAGACGTCAGGGTTGGTGCCACGTTTTGGCTATTATAAATAAAATTGCTATGAGGATTTATGTTCAAGTTTTTGTGTGAGAACACGTTTTCTGTTGTCTTGGATATATACTTAGTGGTAAAATTCCTGGGACAGTATTATAATAACTCTACGTTAACTTTTGGAGGAAGTGCCAAACTGTTTCCCACAGCACTGGATCATTTTATATTTCCATCCAGCCATGTCAGAGGGTTCTAATTCTCTGCACCCTCTCCAACACTTGTTATTGTACCTTTCTGTTGGTTTTTGTTTTTTTGGTTTTAGCCGTGCCACTGGTTATGAAGTGGTGTCTCCTTGTGGCTAGATTTGCATTTCCGTAGTGAGTAAAGATGTTAAGCATCTTTTCATGTGTCTATTGGGCATTTGTTTATATACTTTAAAGAACTGTCTATTCAGATTCTTAGCCCATATTTTAATTGAGTTATTTGTCTTTTAACTGTTGAGCTTGAGTTCTTTATGTATGGTCGATACTAGACCCTTACTCAATATGTGATTATGTGATTTACAAATATTTTCTCCTATTCTGTGAGCTGTCTTTTTTTTTTTTTTTTTTTTTTTTTTTTTTTTGAGACACAGTCCCTACTCTGTTGCCCAGGCTAGAATGCAGTGGCATGATACTGGCTCAGTGCAACCTTCGCCTTCCTGGGTTCAAGCAATTCTGTCTCAGCCTCCTGAGTTGCTGAGACTGTAGGTACATGCCACCATGTCTGTCAAATTTTTTTTTTTTTTTTTTTTAGTAGAGACAGGGTTTCACCATATTGGTCAGGCTGGTCTCAAACTTCTGGCTTCAGGTAATCCACCCACCTTGGCCTCCCAATGTGTTGTGATTACAGGCGTGAGCCACTGCATTTGGCCTGTCTTTTTATGTTGCTAAACAAATAGTATTAATTTTCATGAAGTCCAATTAATCTATTTTTTCTTTTGTTGCTTTTGCTTTAGAAAACATTGCCTAATTAGAGGTCACAAAGCTATACTCCCATGTTTTCTTCTAAAAACCTTCTTATACTTTTCGTTTCTTCATTTAGGTCTTTGATATATTTTGAGTTAATTTTTATATTTAGTGTCAGGTAGGAGACTAAATAAATTCTTTTGCTTGTGAACATCCAGTTGTGCCAGCATCATTAGTTGGAAAGACAATTATTTCACCTATTTAATTGTCTTGATATTCTTGTTGAAAATCAATTTATCGTAGATTTGTGGATTTATTTTATTTATTTATTTATTTTTTGAGACGGAGTTTCGCTCTTGTTACCCAGGCTGGAGTGCAATGGCGCGATCTCGGCTCACCGCAACCTCCGCCTCCTGGGTTCAGGCAATTCTCCTGCCTCAGCCTCCTGAGTAGCTGGGATTACAGGCACGCGCCACCATGCCCAGCTAGTTTTTTGTATTTTTAGTAGAGACGGGGTTTCACCATGTTGACCAGGATGGTCTCGATCTCTTGACCTCGTGATCCACCCGCCTCGGCCTCCCAAAGTGCTGGGATTACAGGCTTGAGCCACCACGCCCAGCCAGATTTGTGGATTTATTTACAGACTCTGAATTCTCACCTATTTCTCCAAGTCTATCCTAATGTCAGTGCCACACTGTCTTGGTTACTGTAATTTTGCAGTAGACAGTAGACTTGAAATAGAAAAGTGTGAGTCTTTTTTGTTTTGTTTTTTCAGGATTGTTTTGGTCCCTATGGGTCTCTCGCATTTCTGTAGAAGTTTTTGAATCAGATTGTCTATTTCTGTAAACAAGTCTTCTAGGATTTTTATAAAGTTTACATAAAATGTGCAGATCAATTTGGAGTACATTTTCATCTTAATATTAATTCTTCTAATTTATGAACATGAGATGTATTTCTGTTTGTTTATGTCTTTCCCGTCCCAGTTTATTTCAGTAATGTTTTGTCATTTTCCGTGTACAAACCTTATACTTCTTTGGTTAAATTTATTTATATGCATTTCATTCTTTTTGATGCTTTTTAGTGAATCAAATTATTTGTTAACTCCATTTTTTACTGCTTCTTATAATAAAAAAACACACAGCCTTACTTAGGTGTGTCAATTTCTAGGAATAAAATGGAATTTTTTAAGGCTCCCATAGACATTACCTTCTCCAGCTTTTCTTTTTTTACTCTTCATTGAGTGTGTTGTTTGTCCCTACTGTTGTCTATCACCATAGGCAACAATGAAGCTAAAACATTTGCCTGTAATTGTTTTGGGCAGAAACTCCTACAGAAAAGGATTTTCTTGTTGATTAATCTTCAAGTTGGTTCAAATACAGTATTATAAGTAGGGTCTTCCAAAGAACCAATGGGCAGCTCAAATAGGAACAATTCTTCATAAGTGAAGCTTTGAAAAAACTCCATCTCTATTCTGGCCCCTCTGATGGTTGTCATGATGCACCAGATATGGGGGCTGTTATTTTTCAAGGCTACCCCATAGCTGGAAAGTCCTTATTCTACCATTTTTTCCTGACCTAATCCTGCTTGTTTGTTTTTATTATTAGGAGAAGTCTTCTAAGGATGCCCCTAGTATGGCAAAAAGAGCTCAGATTTTTGTAGGCCATCAGGAATGGATCATCCTGGCTTTATCTCCTACATGCACTTTTCATTTAATTCTCACCATAACTGTGAGTAGCATATGGAATGACTACCATTTTGCAGATGAGGAAGCTGAGTTCTAAAGAGCTTAGGGCAAGGTCACACTTCAAGTACATGGATGAACCATGTCTATATGACTACAAAGTCTGTTTTTAAGTCTCAGTCATCCTCATACCATCTTGATAAATTTCTTTTTTTTTTTTTTTTTTTTGAGACAGAGTTTCACTCTTGTTACCCAGGCTGAAGTGCAATGGCGCGATCTCGGCTCAACACAACCTTTGCCTCCTGGGTTCAGGCAATTCTCCTGCCTCAGCCTCCTGAGTAGCTGGGATTACAGGCACGTGCCACCATGCCCAGCTAATTTTTTGTATTTTTAGTAGAGACGGGGTTTCACCATGTTGACCAGGATGGTCTCGATCTCCTGACCTCGTGATCCACCCACCTCGGCCTCCCAAAGTGCTGGGATTACAGGCTTGAGCCACCGCGCCCGGCTCACCTTGATAAATTTCACTGTATCTGTTGACATTTAATTTTACTGTATCTACTAACAATGTCATTTACTTCATATTTTTTCCTTAAACAACCTCATCTTAAAATTAACATGAATACAATTCTTTGAATTAAATTTTATATTTCCCTATTATAAATAGTTAGTATAATGTAACACAAATAAAAGATAACTGTGAAAGATAGAGAGAGAGACCCAACAAACACAGATATAAGGGAAAATAAAGAAGAAAGTGGATGCACGGAGACACACAAAGAAGTCAGGATTATCTTATTTAATTTTGTTTATCCGTTATGATCTACAAAAAGCTTTGAGCCTGAGCCCTATTCTTTCCTTATTTTATTTTATTTTTTTGAGATGGAGTCTCACTCTGTTGCCTAGGCTGGAGTGCAGAATAGGATGTGAAACAGAATCTAAAATAGAATGTGAGCCACCTGTGCAATTTATATCTGAGCTTACTGCAACCTCTGCCTCCTGATTTCAAGTGATTCTTGTGCCTCAGCCTCCCAAGTAGCTATGACTACAGGTGCATGCCACCAGGCCTGGCTATTTTTTTTTTTTCTCGTATTTTTAGTAGAGACGGGATTTTGCCATTTGGCCGGCTGGTCTTGAACTCCTGACCTCAGGTGATACACTCACCTCGGCATCCCAAAGTGCTGGGATTACAGGCTTGAGTCACCACACTCAGCCTTCTTTCCATGCACTTGCATGACAGTGAGAGAGAGACATCAAAGATAGAGTAGCAACAAAACAAAACTTCCTCCTTCACTTGATGAATCACCTGAAGGGAATCGGAAGGGGCATAACTGTCTCACTGTGAGATTTGAGCTCAAGGATACAGGACACTTCAAAGAGGAAACAAACATATGTCTAAGGCTCACAACACTGACTCAGAATTTTTTCCCTAAGTCTTAAATACTAACACTTTACATTTTAGAACTAGCACAATTCCCAGGTCCAAATTTCCTCATCAACATGTCTTGGAGTCTTGAGTCTCATTGGGGTACCCGAGGGCAGCCTCAGATGCCCCAGATGGACTCTAGGACAGAATAGGCTTCACCTCTTCCAGCCGACTCCACACATCTAGCACATCATGGGCAAAGTTGAAGTACTCAGGCACCGGCTGCCTTCCCAGGCTTATGGCTTCCCAGGTGGCCACGATCTTCTGAGGAACAGGTAGTGGTGCCGGCTGCCCACGAGACCCACAGAATCCCCGGGAGCTCCTCAGTGCCTGGAGGACCAGGCGTCTCAGCCATGGTCTCATGCAGTCGCCTCCTGTCTGTCACCAAAGAGAGGAGAGAGGGCATTGTCATAAATGCTGGGCTTTGGGGACAATGCTGAGGTTAGGAGAAACCTGTGGTCAGTGCTAATAGTGACTGCGGTCCTTATTGACTTGTAGAACAAATGCTTCACCCTCAGTCTCAGTTCTGCTGTGTGATGGTCATTTCTCCCCTCTGACCCTGAGGTCCATCCTTTTGACCTCTCACTGGCTGTGTGTCTCTGGGTCTGAGGTCAGAACTCAGAGCCCACTTCTTAAGGCTCAGTATTTCAAAGGGAATCCCTCAAAAAGCCTTTGGCCAATCCTGAACAGACCTTACAAAACTGAAGACAGCTTTAGAGCAGCACTGTCCAATCGAAATAGAATGTGGCCTGGTGTGGTGGCTCACGCCTGTAATCCCAGCACTTTGGGAGGCTGAGGCAAATAGATCACAAGGCCAAGAGATCGAGACCATCCTGGCTAACATGGTGAAACCCTGTCTCTACTAAAAATACAAAAATTAGCTGGGCATGGTGGTGCATGCCTGTAGTCCCAGCTACTTGGAAGGCTGAGGCAGAGCAATTGCTTGAACCTGGGAGGCGGAGGTTGCAGTGAGCCAAGATTGCACCACTGCACTCCAGCCTGGTGACAGAGCAAGACTCTGTCTCATTTAAAAAAAAAAAAAAAAAAAAAAAAAAAAGGTGAACCACCTGTGCAATTGACAATGTTCTAGTACTTCTTAATAGTACTTTTCTTAATAGAAAAGCAGAAACAGATGAGATTAATTATAACAGCACATATTATTTAACCAGATAGAGCCAAAGTATGATCATTTCAATGCATAGTCAACAGAAGAATAAATTGTTAAAGAGATATTTTACATACTTTTATTTACTTTTCTTGTGGTGCTACATCCTTAAAATCTGATCTAGATTTTACCCTTATAAGCACATCTCAATTTGAACTAGCCACACTTCAAGTTCTCAAAAGCCACAAGTGGCTGCTGTATGGCATGCTGTGCTTTTAGTGTCTTTTAGTTTTTTAAATTTTATTTTATTAGTTTTAAAATTTTCATTATTGTTATGTTTGAGACAGAGTCTCACTCTGTTGCCCAGGCTAGAGTACAGTGGTGCTATCAAAGGTCACTGCAGCCTCAAACTCCTGGGCTCAAGCAGGTCTTCCACCCCAGCCTTCCTAGTAGCTGGGACTACAGATACTAGCCATCACGTATGGCTAACTTTTAAAAAGTTTTTTGTAGAAACAGGATCTCACTCTGTTGCCCAGACAGTACTTGAACTCCTGGCCTCAAGTGATCCTCCCAACTTGGCCTCCCAAGTGCTGGGATTACAGATGTGAGCCACTGTGCCCAGCCCAGTTTTGATGTCTTGCTACTCAAAGTGTGAGCTTCAGACCAGCAGATGGGGCCCCACCCTACACTTGTAGAATTAGAATCTGCAAGTTAACAGGATCTTCAGATGAGTCACATGCATGTTATATTTTGAGAGGCACTGGTCTGGGAGCTGCATGTGTCCTGTTTCAGTTTCCTTGCATTAGTAGTAATAATAATAAAATATGGTAATAACAACCAACAATAAAAACATGGTACAACAAGAAAAACCATAACAGCTACAGTCTATTGAAGGCCTACTGTGTACCAAGCAATTTAAAAGGGCTCATAGGCATTCTTTCATTAAATCTTTATAACAACTCTATGCTGTAAATGTTATTTTCTCCATTTACGGATAAAGAAAGTGAGGCTTACACGGGAAAAGTGACTTTCAGTTTTCACCTCCCGGAAAAGCATAGGTTTCGGTTTCTGGAGTGGCCACCAGGCCTAGGCCTGCAGCCTCAGAGACTTCCTTTTTCTGACCCACCTCTCTCGCCCCTCGCCTCTCCTGAACTCTGCCCAAGCCTCTTCCTCAGTCTCCCACCCCTGGATTCCTGAGGCAACTTGACAGCTGATAATTTAGAATGCCCAGGCCTTCTTCCCATTCCCCAACACCGTTTCAGACACTGCTTCCTGGTTTAATCAGCAAAGGCCTGAGAAGCAGCTGACACCTTGGGCTGAAAAATTTCTTTCCAAATTACCTTGTTCTTGAATCAAAGTAATGCAAAAGGCCTCTGTTTTCTGCTTCAACCGAGTGGAGCAGGCCTGAAAGCCTATAAACACTTTGCTTCCTCAGAAAACAAGTTGCTGATTCAGCCTCCCACAGTGAACTTCAGCCCCAAATTCCTCCAAGAGAAGGCAGAGCCAAAAGCCAGCAGCTGACACAGTGGCTTCAACTGGGCAGGGTGCATTGAGCCAGTGAGAACTGCCCCCTGCCAAGTTTTCTCAGTACTCACAGTGGCTGGAAGATCAGACCTCAACTGTTGTGTCTGCTGGGTGTACCCAAACTGGTAGATGTATTCCCTAACAATTCAAGTCGCCATCTAATCAGAAAAGCAATAGGAAATTTATTAGGTTTTAACAGGAAAAGTGCAATAGTGATAATCATATAAGTCAGACTGTTTCTTTTCTGCTTAGAACCCTCCAGTAGATACAGAGAGAACAGAGGACTGGTTCCAGGGAATGGCTCTAAGGCATCCTTTGAAGTCATAGAATTGCTCTCAATTTGGATTGTGGTCATGACTGCACAACTCTGTAAATTTACTACAAAAAATAGTTAATAATATATAATATTATAAATAAATACTATAAATAAATAATAATAAATAATAGTTTAAAAATAGTTAATAATAATTGTACACTGCCAAAAGAGGTATTTGGGGTTTTTGTTTGTTTGCCTGTTTTTTGAGAGAGGCTCTCATTCTGTCACCCAGGGTTGGAGTGCAGTGATGCAATCTTGACTCACTGCAACCTCCACCTCCTGAGTTCAAGCTATCATCCTACCTCAGCCCCCCAAGTAGCTGGGACTACAGACACACACCACCACGCCATGCTAATTTTTGTATTTTTTGGTAGAGATGGGGTTTCAACAACATGTTGGCCAGGTTGGTCTCGCACTCCTGACCTCAAGCGGTCTGCCCACTTTGACCTACCAAAATGCTGGGATTACAGGTGTGAGCCACTGCACCTGTCTACAGCTCCCTATCTCACTCATAGTCCAAGCCAAAGTCCTAACAATTGCATACAGGCTCCCATAGGAATTCCTGAGAGCTTTTCTCCTCTAACCTCCTGGCTCATTCTGCTCCAGCCGTACTGGTCTTTTTTTTTGTTTGTTCTCTGAAGTTCTTTTAAAATTATTTTTAATTTTTGTGGGTACATAGTAGATATATACATTTATGGGTTACATGAGATATTCTGATACAGGCATGCAATACATTAGAATCCCATAAGGGTAAATGGGGTATCCATCACCTCAAGCCTTTATCCTTTGTGTTAGAAACAATCCAATTATACTATTGTAGTTATTTTAAGTGTACAGTTAAATTATTTTTGATGATAGTCATCCTATTGTGCTAGAAAATACTAGGCTGTGTTCATTCCTTCTAACTACTCTTTTGTATCCATTAACCACTCTCACTTCTCCTCAAACTCCCTGCACTTTCCAGCCTCTGGCAACCATCCTACTCTCTCTCTGAGTTCAATTGTTTTACCGTTTAGCTCCCACAAGTAAGAGAGAACACGCAATGTTAGTCTTTCTATGCTTGGCTTTTTTCACTTACTGTAGTGACTTCCTGTTCCATCCATGTTGTTGCAAATGACTTGGTTAGGGGTGTCCTACAGAGAGGATGCTGAGCCATTAACTGCCTATCTTTGCAGTGATTCCAACATCACACTGGATGTTTATCCATCACTGTATGTTGTTCCCCGTGACTCTGTCTTATTTCTTGGCCGGGCTAGTTTGGCCCATTTCCATGCAAGCAGCTCCTCTCCCTTGCCACCAAACTTGGCAAAAGGAACCATCTTCTGGGCTCTCAATGTCCACTTGCTCAGCGTTCAGTCCTCTACTGCTACCCAAGACACAACCTCATGTCTGAATCTCCAGCCAGATCTAAAGACACAATCTCTACTCTCAGAGGGGTGAATGGACTAATGGACATTATCTGTTTTTCCAGCAGTCTAATCTCAATATCACGACTCTTTATCAGTACTTTTTAAAAAGAATATATAATCATAAGACATGGCAAATGTTTCATAAATGTTCAGTGAAATAACTGGATACACTTGATATACAGTATAATCACAATTTTATTTTTTAAAAGTGTATATTAATCCCATACATAACAGAATATGAATGTTTTCTCTAAGATGATGTGCAATTTTAATAAACTCAGTTTTTTCTGTATGTTCTATGTCTTATAAATTAAATCCTGTTCTTTTCTAATCAGAAAGAAATTAATGTTATTTTATAAAAAGAAGCTTTAAGCCAAACACAGTGGCTCATGTCTGTAATCCCAGCACTTTGGGAGGCCAAGGTGGGCAGATCAGCTGAGGTCAGGCATTTGAGACCAGCTTGGCCAACGTACTGAAACCCCATCTCTACTAAAAATACAAAAATTAGCCAGGTATGGTGGCACGTGCCTGTAATCCCAGCTACTTGAGAGGCTGAGGCAGGAGGGTTGCTTGAACTCAGGGACAGAGGTTGCAGTGAGCCAAGATCATGCCACTGCACTCCAGCCTGGGCAAGAGAGCAAGACTCCATCTCAAATAATAATAAAAAAAGAAGCTGTAATGGTAAATGAGTATCATCATAAAAGTGTCTATGTTATGTCAAGAAACAACTAACTGCAAGAGTGAAGGAAAATGAAGGTAGGCTATTTGGAACAATAAGCCAAGTGTTTTAGTTTGTGACTAAAAGTTGACAAACATGGAAGATGTCAAAATAATATATGCCAGAGTATATTGTTGATTTGGACATGGGGAAAAAAAGAGTCTAACATACCCCAGGAATTATTTTCAAATACAGCACCCAGAAAAGGAATAATTGGCCAGAAAAGTTGAAAGGGGCATGATGGGTTCAAATTAAGACATTCAGGTATTCAGTGAATGTGGTCCAACCAAGAAGAGCTTTTCCAATAGGCAGATGGAAAACAGTCTTAATAGTAAATGCAATCAGTTGATCAAATCCAGGGGAGTAAATGAGGGAGTAACTTATAAAGGGGAATATTTGAACTCATGCATTTAAACAAGCTAACAAAAGTATAGAAGTTAAAGTATGGAAAGTGAAGAGCAGAACCAGTTACAGTAGCTCATGCCTGTAATCCCAGCACTTTAGGAAGCCTAGGCAGGTAGATAATTTGAGGTCAGGAGTTTGAGACCAACTTTACTAACATGGTGAAACACTGTTTCTACTAAAAATACAAAAATTAGTTGGTGTCATGGCACCCACTGTACTCCCAGCTACTTGGAAGGCTGAGGCAGGAGAATTGCTTGAACCCTAGAGGGGAAGGCTAGAATGAGTAGAGATCAAGCCACTACACTGTCTCAAAAAGAAAAAAAAAGAAAAGAAAAGAAAACAGAAAAGAAGGAGAAGAGCAAAGTGCTATGACTAAAACCCACAGATGTTAAAATTTAGTGAAGTACTGTAAATGTGAATCATCTTCATCAGTATTTAATAAGAGTTGGGCAGCAGATAGCCAAAGGCTGCAAACTCTGATAATAATAATGATGATAATAATCTCAACAACATTTTATTTATCCATTTGACAAGTATTTATTGAGTACCTGTCACCTGGTAAGCAAAGCAAATTATGTGGAATTTAGGAGATAATTAATGCTATGAAGAAAAATAAAACCTGGAAGGGTGGTGAGTGTTGGAAATAAATGCTCGGTGCCACAAAGAAAAATTAGCACTGAGACAAAGGATCTTTCAGCAACACAATTTTTACTTCTTGGACCGCAGGAAGGGTACTCTTGCTAGCCCTCTTGCCACAAGAGTACAATGAACAAGGGAAACACACACAAATTTATTTCTTACACATTTGGGGTTGTCCTTACTACTGTGTCTGATTTCCGTTGGCTGGAGCCAGACCTCACAATGTAAACTAAAGCCTGATTGGGTAACAATTTAAAAGTTTTCTAAACAGGTAAAAGCAATAGAGAGCTGGGACGTGCCTGTGGGCACATCTAGCACAGATACCTTGGTTAAAGTACAAGGACATAGAATGTACTACGTGACTGTAAGCATGGCATGTTTAACAGCTACATAGGATGCGGCTTAACAAAGTTATTAGCGCACTTATTCTTTAACAAGACAGAAAACTTTAAAAAGGAACTTTTCTACTTCCCACAATAAAGAATGCCTGAGAGGGGAATGGGGCACTTACAAGTTTAAACAAAGTGGCCAGGAAGGGCCCAACTGTGGAAGTGACACTGGGGCAAAGGCTGGAATGAGCTAAAAGGGTGAACCCTGAGTCTGCCTGGGTGAAGAGCCTCCCTAGCAGAGGAAACCACCAGTGCAGAGGCCCTGACATTGTATCAGAGGACTGGCAGGGACACCAGTGTAGCTTGAGCAGGGTGATTGGAAATCTTTCTCACCTGGTGGTGATGAGTGAAGGGGCTACTACCTTCTAGGTACTGAGATGCTCATTTTGCATAAATCTTCTTGTTTAACCCTTACAACACCCCTATCAATTGGATGCCATGTTACAGGAGTAGAAAATAAACCTCAGAAAGAGTAAGTGACATTCTCAAGACTATACAGCTGTGAAGACAGAGCTGGGATTCAAACTCCAATGTATGGGCATTGAGTTTAAAGCCCTCCTGGGCCATACCTAGCACCTCACAGCGAGTTTTGTTTCTGACCCTTCAAGGGAACTCAGCTAGAGCTGCCAGGCAGGGTACCCTCTTACTCAACAATGGCCCATTCTTCTCTAGGGTCACCCCTGGTCCTCTAGAACCCCAGAACTCAGAACATTCCTGCAGAGGCTGCTGTGGCCTCTGTGTGCCCTGGAAGGGACTTCATTTCTGCCTGTGGATTTCTTTAGAATGCCCAACCATCTATGGGTCCTGCTCTGATCACAAGGAGAATTCAGGAGCCTGCTCTTCAGGGCCGAAGAGTTTGTGGCCCCACCCCCAGCACAGCCCCAGCTAGGCCCCTGAGAGTGGCCTTGGCTTCCTGCAGGTATGATCTTCAGTGACAATGGGAAATCTGACTGATGGGCCCTGCCTTGGGAGCTTTTTTTTTTGCCAGGTGTCACCAGTTTAAGTGTGGGTTTTGGTATAGATGGCTACACATTGGAACAACTTAAAGGCTTAAAAAATAATAATAATGCCCAGACTTACACAAACCCACACTAATTAAATTAGAACCTATTGGGTTTGAGCTTGAACATCAGTATTTTTTATTAAACTCCCCAAGAGATTCTAAGCATAGTCATGGTTGAGAAACACTGAAATGAAAACCCATGGATGGGGTTTGCTATAAGAGTTAAATGAGGCCATTTGTTCATTCATTCAACAAACTTTCAGTGTGCTCCAAATCTAGTGCAAGCACTGCTCTGGAGGGGAGAAACTAGCTGTGAGCAATGGTATTTACATTAAAAACTTCAAAACAACCACAACAAAATACACTGGGAAATAATAATAGAAAATATGATGCAAACAATGGTGATAATGCAGAGAGTGCTGAAAGATCCTTCCAATGAGCTTGGATTCAAGCTGAGACCCAAAGAACCAGAAAAGCCTGATGAATTGAGGGAAGGATGCCCCAGGGAGAGGCAACAACCCCAGGTGGGGTATGCTTGGGAAAGGGAAGAGGCCAGTGTGGCTGCCCAGAGTACAGGAGGAGAGAAAGAGGGGATGGCGATAAGGTCAGATGGATTCCAGAGCCAGTGGGGCCTGGTAGACCACAGAGAACAGTTTGGCTGGTGTGTGGTTTTGTGAATGGGTTGTTAAAAAAAAAGAAGCAGGACATTTTTTTGGACAATATATAAAAATGAGCACCTTTTGATAGGCGGAATGTTGTGATGGAATTCCTGTGTCAAAAGGAAATCTCTGCCAGGCACGGTGGCTCACACCTGTGATCTGTAATCTCAGCACTTTGGGAGGCGGAGGTAGGCAGATCACCTGAGGTCAGGAGTTCAAGACCAGCCTGGCCAACATGGTGAAACCCCGTCTCCACTAAAAATACAAAAATTAGCTGGACGTGGTGGTGGGCGCCTGTAATCCCAGCTATTAGGGAGGCTAAAGCAGGAGAATTGCTTGAACCTAGGAGGCGGAGGTTACAGTGACCTGACATCATGCCTAGGCACTCCAGCCTGGGCGACAAGAGCAAAACTCCATCTCAAACAATAAAAATAAAGGAAATGTCTGATTGTCGCATGGGGAATGGGTTGGGGTGAAAGCAAAGAGTAGAAGCACAGGTGAGATCAGTGTGGAGGTGGGAGACCATGGTGGCTGGGACACAAGGTCTCTCCACGGCATACTGGTGGAGGGAATGCACACAGCTGGTGTTCAGTGACATATGGCTGGTGACCAGCCCCTTGTGTTGGCTGTTCTCATTAATAAAAGTTTCCCATCACAGCCACTCTCCTCTGAGTAAGGGTTAGAAGCTGATGTTGGAGCTGAACTTGGACTTTGTGAGGCTGGGGAGATTGTGCTGGCTGACACAGCAGAGTCACAGTGGGGTCACACCAGGAGAACAAAGGGCCAAGGCTGAGAGAATAAAGGGGCGGGGCAGGACAGGCTGGAGGCAGAATGGCTGAGAGCACAGTCCCAGGGCTGGACTAGAGGGGGCGCCACAGTCTCTGGGAAACTCTGGGATGCTGCAGAGCTGAGTCTGGTATTGTGAGAGGGACTGGGAGAAAAAACAGGAGCAGGGAAAAAGAGATACTATTTCTCCCACACTCTCAGCAATGCAAATACGATCGTTCACTTCTTTGCTTCCCTTAGTCAAATGTCAACTTCTAAATGAAGCTTTCCCATGGTCACCCTATTTAAAATATCAGCCGGGCACAGTGGCCCATGCCTGTAATCCCAGCACTTTGGGAGGCCAAGGTGGGTGGATCACCTGAGGTCAGGAGTTCAAGACCAGCCTGGCCAACATGACAAAATCCTGTCTCTACTAAAAATATAAGAATTAGCCGGGCATGGTGATGCATGCCAATGATCCCAGCTATTCCAGAGGCTGAGGCAGGAGAATTGCTTGAACCAGGAGGGTGCAGGTTGCAGTGAGCCGAGACTGTGCCACTGTACTCCAGCCTGGGCAATAGAGCACGACCCCATCTCAAAAGAAAAAAAAAAGAAAAGAAAATATCAACACTCCCCACTGACTCCATTACTTTTGAATCTCCTCTTATCCACCTTTTCTCCTTTGCATCTGACATACCATTGATTGCATCTATTGTCTCACTGTGTTTCCCACTACTAGGATACAAGGAATATTGTTTGTATTCCTAGCACCTAGAATGGTACTTAACATGTTTTAAGACTTTAAAAATATTTGTTAAATGAACACATGAGTGAGTGAGTGAATGAGTGAAGAGGAGCTGTGGCTGATTCCCTGGAGCCAGAGGAAAGCCTGGTGGCCAGAGTCTGACCATAGAGGGCTCTCTCCTTGCCAGCCAGTGGGGCTTGATCTCTGTCCTATTCAAACTGAAGCACTGGGAACATTTGAGGCTCATGATCCAGTGCATTCAGGTTAGCAGGAAACCTGACACCATCCACTGCCCCTTCTTCTTTGATCAGGAACCCCGGGGGAACACTCTGTCAAAGGCCTGGGAGGCGAGGGCATGAGGGCAAGCCCACCATAGCCCCTTCTATCTGGTTTGTGCTCGGAGGCTCAGCCCTCTACTGTCGCTGAGCTGGACCCTTGGTTCAGCCTCTGGACCCTGAAGGTGTCCAGCTCACTCAAGGTCACTGGCCCAGTCTCCTCTGTCCTCCAGCAAGTGTCATCCAGAACCCCCAGAGAGGGTCACACAACCTTGAATTTCAGGGTTCCTTCTTTGAAGGCCCCATGGGGCTTTTGCAGATCTGGCCCCCTCCTGCCAAGCAAGGGATTCTGGGCACTGAGGGGGTTTCACAGGGACCACCAATGGTCAGGCCTAGGATGGTTCTGGATGACCCTCCCTACCTTACATTCACACCGCAAAGAAGGGGTTATTCAAATGATTTTCTGTAGAATAAAAACTAACTCTCTAGTACTTTGATGTCTCCAGCTAGGCAAAGAACTCTTAGGTGGCCATTCTCTCACAAGTGAGTGGATCAATGAACAAATAAACGAACAACTCCATTATTTCTAAGAATAAGGGTTGCATCTAATAGTCATCACACTGTACCAGACTCAGTCTGGGCTGATAAGTGGCATGCCACCTGGTGAATCCTGGGACATTGAGATCATTAGGGACTCAAGGCCAGGCTGACAATAATGAGCCCTTTGGCCAAGACACAGATTTAAATGGTCTGTATCGTTCAGCTGACAAAAAACCAGGTTATCTCCATGCCCTTCTTCCTTCTCTCCACCTGCCCTTGGTTGGTTTCATTTGACCGTGTGCTTCTCAAGCTACAAACTGAACAACAGAATTACCTGGGAGAGGCTTAGGAGACAAAACAATCAATGACAATTCATGGATCTCATTTGGGTCCTGATTTAAACAGACTAAAAATTTATGAGGCTGTCAGGGTAATTCACACACTGTCTGGAAATTTGATGGTATGATGACATTATTGTGCATTTCATTAAGTATGATAATAGTATTGTGGTTAATGTGTTCTTTTAAAAAATCCTTATCTTTTAAACATTTATAACAAAATATTTATGAGTGAAATGATATGATTCCTGGAACTAGCTTCAAAATAACCCACGGCAGAGAATCAAGTCTATAAATAAAATAACATTGGTCATGATAATAAGTCAAGTTGAATGATGGGTACCTTGGGGGTACATTATACCAGATCTCTATTTTTATACATGTTCAAAATTTTCCAAATAGAAGTTGAAATAAAACAAAATAATCATCTGGGGAACTTTTGAAATGTTTAAGTATCTAGACCCCATCCTGAGCAATTCTGAATTAATTGGTCTGGAGTGAGATTGAGTGTCTATGTTATCCTAAAACTCCGTAGAAGATTTTCATGTGTATCCAGGGTTAAAAAGAACGAATCAAGCTGGAAAAAAAAAAAAAAAGCATAATCTGATTCCATTTATGTTTAAAAATATACATTCAGGCCGGGCATTGTGGCTCATGTCTGTAACCTCAGCACTTTGGAAAGCTGAGGCGGGTGGATCATTTGAGGTCAGGAGTTCAAGATCAGCCTGGTCAACATGGGGAAACCCCCTCTCCACTAAAACTACAAAAATTAGCTGGTGCAATGGTGCGCACCTGTAATCCCAGCTACCTGGGAAGCTGAGGTGGGAGGATCACTTGAATCCGGGAGGTGGAGTTTGCAGCTTTGAATATACATATATATTCAAAGGTATGTTCATATAGGTATTTTCAATATCCATAAGGATTCATTCCAAACTGCTAAGAGTCACTTTATCAACAGTGAGAGAATGGGAGAGATTTTTATTTTCTTCTTGACACTTTTATTGCATTGCTTGAAACTTTTACAAATGTGTATTATAGTTATGACTTTTTAAATATTTACACTTGATAAAATTTGTTTAAAAATTAAATAGGGTACACTGCAAAGTAGTGAGGTTCTCTTCACAGGGGCATTCAAGCAGGAGCTAGAGGAGGATGAAGGAGAGGCATGGTGAGCAGACGGATTCCTGGGAGGCTGTGATGGGGGATTGGAGCAGTTATCTCTGAGATCCAGAGGCTCACTCCAGGACTCTGGAATGAGACCTTCTCTGCAAAAGTCTTACCTTGTGGCTGGGAAGTCAGTGGGCTTAAGTGGTCTGGGGTCCAGCTGCTTCCCATGGGCTCTTGCTGCTCTAAGCTTCCTCTATGCAGTCATGGTCCTGAGGTCGACCTAATACTTTGCTTCTTCTACGGGGCTGTTGCCAAGCCGCAGGCATTGCAGGATGGCAATGCCCAGGCCACGTTCATTCACCCTGCATGGACTGGCTGGACAAGGAAGGGGGTGTGATGACGTGGGGCCCCGCCACCTGTGTTGATAAGGGCTCTGTTCCTTCTCCGGCCCCTTCAGGACAGTCATGGACCTGCTCTGGATGCCCCTGTTTCTGGTGGCTGCTTGTGTCTCTGCTGTCCACAGCTTACCGGAAGTGAACGCTGGTGTTTCCAGCATCCACATAACCAAGCCTGTGCACATCCTGGAGGAACACAATCTGCTGGTGCTAACGCCTGCTGGCCTGACCCAGATGCTGAACGAGACCCGCTTCCTCATGGTGCTTTTCCGTGAGTATCCCCATCCTAGTTGATGGGTGACAGATGGGATCAGGCCTGCCTCCTCGTGTCTGGGGACCAGAGGAGTTTTATATATTGCTAAACACATAAGAACACATATAATTTAAAACAGACATCTAATATATATAGATAACATCACCCCCAATCTCCACATGAGAGTACTCCAGGGAGATTAAGCCAATTGCAATATAGTATGCCATCTCTCTAGTCTTGGATTTGTATGTGACTCCTCTGTCCCACTGAAGAGGAGCCAGGCTGTAACCCCAGGTGTCCGTATTATTCTGAGCCTCAGTCTTTCTCCTCTGTAAAATGGGCATGAACCTAATGATACACTGGATTAAATGAGATGTCATAAGTTCCTGGAACACAACTAGAGAGAAATAAATGATGACAGTGTGGGGCAAGCTCTCGAGACAGGAGTTTTTAGACCATCACTTTTTTGTTTTGTTTTGAGACAAGGCCTTGCTCTGCCTCCCAGTTTGGAGTGCAGTGTCGTGATCCCAGCTCACTGTAACCTCCGCCTCCTAGGTTCAAGAGATTCTCATGCCTCATGCACCTGCATATGTGGGACCACAGGTGCCCACTACCACACCCGGCTAATTTTTGTAATTTTTGTCTTTTTAGTAGAGACAGGGTTTTACCATGTTGGCCAGGCTGGTCTCGAGCTCCTGACCTTAAATGATCTGCCCACCTTGGCTTGCCAAAATGCTGGGATTATAGGCATGATCCACTGTGCCTGGCTGAGACCATCACTTTTGCTGTCAGATTTGCATGCCTGCTTTTGTTCTTTGGACATTTTACATCAGCAGACATTTTGGGGGACAGAGCAGGCTGCTTCTTCCTGAGGCATTAGGACAGAGCCATGCCCTGGAACAGAATGTAAGGGATTTTCATAACAACTTCAACATAGTATTCATGGAGTGCTGGGCACTGCCCTAAGCTCTTCATTAAATGTCACATCATTTGATTCTCATAACACCGTGTGATGGTACTATTCATCTCCCTGTTTGATAGTTAAGGAAACAGAAACTCAGAAAGGATAAACAATTTGCCCAAGATCACACAGCACAAGTGGACACCACAGATCCCATGCCGTACCATGTTCTATGTGGCAGGATTTGGAGAATGCAGACCACAGGTGTGAACACTGGACTTGAATGGCTGGCTCCGTGTCAGTCCCCAAAGCCTGCTTCCAGAATGTTCCAGGCCTGTCCAGCACCCAGGTTCCCAGAGGCTAGGCAGAGCCTCAGGTTCCAGGGAAGAGCAGGGCAGGGGAAGCAGGATGCCTTTCCCTTCCTGGTTTCCACCCTCTTCTCAAGCTGCCCCTCCACCTGCACTCCCCTTTGCTCCTCTTCTCAGCTGTTGTTCTGGGGCAGCCCTTTCTCCCTTCTCTGTTTGCTGCCCTCTAACCAGAACAATTTGCAGACTCCCTTTTATTTCTAGTCCAACCAGTGCTGTGTAGTACAGTAAGGTCAGCTTCAGGGGTTCACAGTCCTACATTCAAAAGCTGAGCTCTGCCACTTACTAGCTTGGTGGCCTTGGGCTAGTGACCTTGAGCATTCTGAACCTCTGTTTATTTGATGCAAAATGGGGAATGTAATAACATTTATAGGCCAGGCATGGTGGCTTATGCATGTAATCCCAGCACTTTTGGAGGCTGAGGTGGGAGGATCTCTTGAGCTCGTGTTCAAGACCAGCCTGGGCAACACGGCAAAACCCCATCTTCACCAGAAAGAAAAATACAAAAGTCAGCCAGGCATGGTAGCACACACCTGTAATCCCAGCCACTTGGGAGGCTGAGGTGGAGAATTGCTTGAGCCCAAGAGGTCAAGGCTGCAGTGACCTGTGATTGCGCCATTGCACTCCAGCCTGGCTGACAGAGAGAGATCCTGTCTCAAAATAAATAAATAAACAAAAACATACATACATACTTACATACATAAAATTTGTAACTCCTAGGATTGTTGTGAGGATTAAGTGAAATAATGTGCTTAGCACAGTGATTGATGGGTAATAAGAATTTAGGAAGATGGGCCAGGCATGGTGGTTCACGTCTATAATCCCAGCACTTTGGGAGGCTAAGGTGGGCAGATCACAAGGTCAGGAGTTCGAGACCAGCCTGGCTAATATGGTGAAACCCATTTCTACTAAGAATACAAAGAAATCAGTTGGGCATGGTCACACACGCCTGTAATCCCAGCTACTCGGGAGGCCAAGGCAGGAGAATTACTTGAACTCGGTAGATGGAGGTTGCAGTGAGCCGAGATCACACCACTGCACTCCAGCCTGGATGACAGAGTGAGACTCCATCTCAAAAAAAAAAAAAAAAAAAAAAAAAAAAAAAAAAAAAAAGACGTTGGCTTCCACTTTCATCATCCTTTCCAGTTTTCTCACCTGCACAACAAAATTAGTAATGCCTCCCTTGCAGGTTGTTGTAGTTGATGAAAGTGGGCTCAGATATGCAGTCCCCTGCCATAGCGGGCACTCCACAGGCAGAAGCTATCACCATTGGGATCTTATTAATGCCACATTTATGCAGCTCAATGCCAGGCCGTGGGTGGGCTCTGTGACCAACTTGGTTTTTGCTCTCAAGGACTTTACAGTTTAAGCCAGGAATGTCACAAGGCATGAAAAACCCTTTAAAACAAAGTGTGATTAAGGTCATGCCATTAATATAGTCTAAACTCTATGCTTTCGGTGCTCTGAAGTGGAGAAGTAATGGTTTGGACTTGTCCTCAGAAGTACTTCTTCCAGCTGCAGCAGCTGAGTGACCTTCTCTGGCTTGGTTCTTGCTCCCTCATGTCTTGGAGTGCACGAGGGATTCCCCGGCCAAAGCAAATCTATCTGGAAGCTTGAAGTTTGCCTTGAAGTGAGAGACATCATCTGTTTGGCTTCCCACTAATGCCCAGTGATACACAATCAAAGCCAAAGAGTTAGCAGAAGTCGCTGAAATCTATGGTCGTTGATGTCAGTATTTAATCAAAGGCCTCATGCCAAGTAAAATTCTGAAGAATCTCTCTTAACCAGAAACACTCACGCATCTTGGTTCTTAAGCAACATCAAGGTTTGGTGTAATGTACATTGGGATCCAGGCAAGCCTGAGCGTAAAGCCCAGTTCTTCCCATAAACTGGATATGTGACCTTGGGTGAATTTCTTGGTGTCTCACTTTCACCTGTAAAGTAAGAATATTGAAAGTGGTATAGTCATTACAGGGATTAACTGAGAGGGTATTACCTGACATGTGGAAGTTGCTCAGAAACACAAGTTCTCATTCTCCCTTGCCCTGCAGCACTGAGGCAAATGCAGTTCATTAACCCTATGCCAGTTTGGACAGAGTTCAGCTGCAAGTAATTAAGAATCTGCCAATGGTGGTGTCTTCATCTTTGGTTCACAACTCTGCTGGTTAGAAGATTGGGCATCTGGTGAAAGGCTCAAGCTGCTTTCACTCTTGGTGGAAGGTAAAGGGGGAGCTGGTGTTTGCAGTGATTATGGAGAGGGGAAACAAGAGAGAGAGAGATGGGGGAGGCCAGGTTCTTTTTAACAACCAGCTCTCACAGAAACTGATAGAGTAAGAACTCACTCATTACCTTGATGACAGCACCAAGACATTCATGAGGGATCTACCTCTATGACCCAAACACCTCCTATTAGGCCCCACATCCAACACTGGGGAACAAATGTCAACATGAGACTTAAAGAAGGTCAAACTAAACAAACTATAGTAAGTGGCTTAATCCAAGAGTTGGTCTCACACACTATGTAAGCTGGGATAGGCAGTTGATGACTGGTATAGCAGCTCCACAGTGTCAGGGATAAGGTTCCTTCTATTTTCTTACTCGTTCATCTTTGACATATTACAACTCATAGTCACAAGATGGTTGCTGTGTTTCTTGCATTGCACTGCCCATTCCAGCTGGAAACAAGAAGGGATGAACAAACAACAAAGGATAAAATGCATCAGCCACCTATGTCCCTTGAAAAAAAAAGAAACTTTCCCAGAGCTGCACCCAATCACTTTAGTAACATCTTATTGGCTAGAACTTGGGCCCATGGATGTTTTGAACAGAGGAGTCTGGAATGGTGAATGCTTTAGGTTTCCAACCTAATTAGTTGAGAAAGCAAAAACAAAAAAGGGTTATAAATGGCTGATTCTCAGTATTTGCCACAAGATCCAAGGTTATAGGCTAACTTAAATGTACTAAGTGTCTTAGTTCTTTGCATATCATGGGGTCAATACAAGATCAATGAAATCCCTTAAAGAAATAAATTCTAGAATGTATTACCCACTTTTATACTCAAACTTCGTCTTTGCTCTTAATTTTGACTAATTATCTTATGATCACTGTGTTTACTGAGAAAGCTAACTGCTATAATAATCACCAAATCTAGGTTCATAAGGGTCCATGTCATGCTTATATCTTAGTCCCAGGTGGGTTTGCAGAGAAGCTCTGCTCCATACAATCATTCAGGGAACCAGGCTCCTTCTACCTAGGGCCTCAGCCATCCGTTGGGGTCTAGAGTACTCCACAGAAATCTCTACCTCCAACCAGCAAATAGGGAGGGAGACGAGGACATGCCTCTGGGTCAGGCTGGCCTGGAACTGATGCCTATTTGTGCTACTCATTGTGTAGGCCATAAGCCAGCAGTGTGAGCATCACTCAGGAGCTCATAGAAATGCAGACTCCCAGGTTTCATCCTAGACCCACTGAATCAGAACCTGCATTTTAACAAGATTCTCAGGTGATTTACACATATTAAAGTGTGAGAAGCACTGGTGTACATCATTTCTACCCACATTCCGTTGGCCAGATCACTGCCCTATAGCCATGCTTATCTGTAAGACAGGCTGGGAAATGTGGTATGGTTGTGTATACCAGGAGGAAAAAGAAGCCAGGCCTGAAGAACCCATGGCTTTGCCTTCCTTAGTTACATTGCACCTGCTTTTTGCTTTATAGCCTTGAAATGACCTTTGTTCAGAAACAACTCAAAG